TGCTACCACCCTATGTGAGTCGCTGTCGCACATTGTGAATAACCAAATCGCGCAAGTCTATGGAGCACAGATAGATATAAGTACGGCTGTAAAAATGCTGAGTCTGCACACCCGACAAGTGAGGCAGAATCTGAGATAACTCTACCGGATGCACAGTCTGCAGAGCCCTCTGGAGAAGGCGTTCAGAGGCAAAGCGAGGGTGCACAGGAAGCTTCTCAGGACACACAAGATATGGACATAGATCTCAAATCCCTAAAGCGTTCTAGATCCCCTGTATCGAAAAAACCTGGCTCGCCAAAACATGCAAAAAGCAAGAAATACCAGAAAGACAACCTTTTAAAAACCGATTTTCTAAAAGAAAGTATTTTAGATAAGGTGATTGCCGAAACCATTTTAACGAAATCATAGGGACTCTTAAAATTATACATTGGAATTGCCGATCTCTTCACTCAGCCATAACAGATCTGTTATACCTGTCTTCCAAATTCGATCCGGCTATTATTGCATTACAAGAAACTTGGCTATTCACACATCATTTATTTCACCTACCCAACTTTCAAACCTTTCGTCTAGACCGTCCATCCAAAGGTGGAGGTTTAGCTTTCTTTATAAACAATAAAATTAGTTTAAAAGTCAAAAACTCATACAAATGTATGTCTTCTGAATGCGAAATTTTCGCGTTAGATATTACCTTGCCAGGATACTTGCCTTTCTCGCTAATAAACGTCTACTTTCCTGTAGGCGTTCAAGACACGAGATTGTTAGATATGGCTGCTAATTCAGGCTGTAAAGAAAAAATTACAGTTGGCGACTTCAACTCTCACCATACCTGCTGGGGTTTTAGAACAGATCAGTGTGGACAACGGTTGTGGGACTGGTCGGTAGACAACAACTTATTGTGCCTTAACGCTAGAACTCCCACATTTATTCGAGGTCATTCACGCTCCACCTTAGATTTAAGCTTTGTAAGCTCGGCCATTGCTAGTACATCGTGGACAGCCCTTGATTGCGCCTCCAACAGTGACCACTTTCCAATAATGTTCGAGATCGCTTGCCCCGTCAAACCATCATGCTTCCATGCCCGAACCTATATAAATTATTCAAAATTTCAACACGACCTAAAAACTGCTTTAGACGCTCCTTCTCAGGATGGAGATGACACTAAAGCTATGAAAATAAGCGCAGTAATCAAAAGGGCATACAAAAACGCTGAACTTGCTGTTAAATCGGCGAAGAGAGTACCCTATAGCCCCTGGTGGAATTCCAACTGTTCACGAGATCACAGACGAAGACAGGCAGCTTGGAAGAAGCTAATACATAATCAATCCCCTAAGAACTGGTCAGATTATAAATTTCTTGCCGCTGTATTTAAACACACGGTGGCCCAAGCTAAAGAAGAATATGATAAAAGACATTTCGATTTTCTCTCGAAATCCAAAAATAAGAAAGCTTTATTTCAATACATGCGATCTCGCAAAATCCTGCCGCCTACATTAAATACTGATTATGAAAAACTGTCATTGGAAGAAACGAAGAACTCTTTAGAGTCAATTGGCAGAGGTCTAGAAATTAGATTTTCTTCGATTATGCCTTTCAACTGGCAAAAGTCTAGCATAAGCACTGACTTCGAAAACGTAACGCTGTCTGAAGCATCAAAAGTCATTCGAGATCTACCATCGTCAGCTCCTGGTCCAGATGAGATCACAGTTCCTATGATTAAAATTTTATTCAAGCTATCCCCTGGCGACGTCCTCAATCTTATAAACTACTCTTTAAAGAATGCCTGGATACCGTATGACTGGAAAATAGCTAAGGTAATCCCATTAATAAAAAAGCAAGGATTAGGTTTTACCATAGAAAATATCAGACCCATCTCGCTAACATCGAACATGGTGAAACTCATAGAGAGGGTTCTAAAGGGCCGAATAAACTCCTGGATGATGAATAAGGTCATATTGAAGCCAAATCAAATTGGTTTTCGTTGTGAATGCTCAATTTGGTGCGCCCATGCGGATTTAGAGAGTCGAATACAGCTTGCTCGTAAAAGGAAACAGTACGCCGCATTAGTAACTCTCGACATAGCTAAAGCGTACGACAGTGTCGAGCACTCTATTCTACTGACCACCTTGCAGAGTCTAAAGTTTCCTCAGTATATTACTGAGTGGATAGCAGAATTCCTAAAATCAAGGGAATTGTATTGCGTGAAGGATGGCTGTTGTTCGCATAAATTCAAACAGAAACGTGGTGTTCCCCAAGGGTCCGTCCTATCTCCAGCATTATTCAATATACTGATGAGCTCTATTCCAATTGTTCAGGATGTTAGTGTCTACATTTATGCAGATGATATCGCGTTCTTCGCTGCAGAGAGCGACATTTACTCACTACATCAAAAACTGCAAAGATATATTAATACACTAGAAATTTGGTTGCAATCCATTTCATTGTCATTGAACATCAGTAAAAGTGCGCTCTTGGTGTTTCCTACAGCAGATACAGTTTCAATTTCTGTATTGTATAATCGGGAACCTATTCCACAAGTTGATTCAGTCAAGTACTTAGGAATGATTTATAATGAAAAGCTAAATTGGAGCCCACACATTGAATATATAACAGCAAAGGCACAACGGGCGTTAGGTTTATTACGCAGGTTAAGCAACAGAAAATACGGGCTGCGCAGACACACAATGTTAATGATATATAAAATGTATGTGCGACCAATATTGGAATTTTGGTGTGTATTATTCTCGGGGGCCGCTGGTTATAAAATTAAACCGCTAGTAATGTTAGAGCGAGAAGCCCTGCGAATATGCCTGGGACTTCCCAGGTTCGTGGCGAATAATATATTGTATCAAGAAGCGCGATTGCCAACACTCCTCTGTCGATTCCGCATTCTAACGGTTCAAACCTTCTTAAAGTTCTACAGTTTACCGGCGCGAAGATCAGAGTACGCATTTATCAGCGACCCTGACTCTTTCTTTCTTGCACATTGGCCTCGATTTCATACCCCTCAGATAATTTTTGTTAAAAAGAAACTGGACTGCATAAATGTAGACATTAGCACTGTAATTGAAACTAATTCCTCAACCATCAACATTAGAATAGAGTACGATGAAATCTTCCCCCCACAAGCCAAGTTGCAATCTCTTAGATTTTTGACCACTACATTAAACGATTACTTGGTACATGCAGAAACAAAAAATGTAATAGCTACAGATGCTTCTGTCAACAATGAAAAGGCAGGCATAGGAATTGCGTCTGATTTCCTCGGCTGGTCTTTTTCAGTAAGGCTTCCAGATTTCACTCCTATATTTGAAGCCGAGCTAGTAGCTATTATTTTAGCTCTTCGTAAAATTCCTACGACCGAGACCAGTGCAATCATCCTAACAGACTCACTTTCGGTGTGTGCAGCTCTGACAACCTCTGAACAATCTCGTGCCCTAGCAGCGTTCCACACATTAGCACCGCCGCATTTAAAACTCCTCAAATTAGTGTTGGTCCCAGGTCACTGCGGATTACAATTAAATGAATTGGCAGATGCTTTGGCACGAGCATCACTCGATGGACCAGTAATTTCAGTACTTCCCGAGGTAGAATACTTATCAGGGGTTAGATATAGGAAATTCGCTATTTTTACAGATAGTTTAATAAATATCACACAATGGACCGATTATCAGCACCTCAAATTTCCATGGAAAGCCCAGTGGAGTCCATCAAAAAACTTGAAATTATAATCTCCAGATTCCGGTGCCGTGTCCCCCCATTAAATTTTTATTAACACAGAGCTGGTTTGACACTTTCCCCCCTTTGTCCGTTCTGCGAAGAATCAGAAACCATTGAACATCATTTTGGCTCATGTCGTAACTATGCATTAATTAGGAAACGACTTTTAGATATTCCATTTGTGAAGCTAGGTTTAAATTTAACCACATAAAATGTTCTAAGTTTTGGTGCCTCTGTTTTGGGAAATTGCCACAGAGATGCATTCGATGCGGTGTGTAATTTTATTCAAGACACTAAACGTTTTTCAACATAAAGCCCACGTTAACAGATACTCAAAAAAAATGGGTCGAAAAGTAATTTTCAATTCTGGATAAATCCGTGACATACCAAATTGATCGTGTTTGGCAAAACCAGCTGTCTGGTCGGCTCCAAAAATCAAGTTGTAGCTATTAGTGTCTACTTTGTTGTTGATTCTTTTTTGTCACAATCTAAATCTTTGGTTGTTTCTTTTTTTTTAACAATTCGCTATACAACTCCCCCCCCCCCCCCCCCCGTTTTGTTTTTGTTTTTCGTTGCAAGCTATAATGCAGTTACCGTCCATATGACACTATATGTTCTCTTGGCCAATCCCCCAGAGTGGGTACGAGCCATGGATTAGAGGATACAAACAAACAAACAAGAAGATGGCTGACACCCCAGCCTAGTACTGTGTATTATTACAACTCAATTCTTGGTCTCTCCCCCGCTGTGGACATGAGCCTCAAGAGAAGTTTAACACGAACAAGAAGAGAAGATAGAAAGGAGGGAGATGCATCTGGAGCGTAGCCAGGAGTGGCACACCGGGCTCATTCCACCTCCCCTCCCCTCCTCCCAAATTTTTTTCGCCATGGCATACAGGGCGAAACGCCCTCTCCCCCCACCCCACCCCCCTTCTCGAAAGGAAATTCTGCCGACGCCCAAGAGGGGCATGGCGAAATGCCATCTTGTCTGCGCCGACGTCAACACCCGCGGTAGGCGTTTGATGAGGGACTGATCGCATATACGTGCGTGGATTTGCGTTAGTTGAAGGACAGCATTAGTTGAAGGTTGGGGGAAATTGGAGTATGTATTTTATTGAGAAACATTTAAATGAGCCCACGAATCAGCGTGTCTGAATAACGGTGTTATGCGCACGGTTTGTCTTTGGCGCGTGTTGGTCTAGTTGCAGCGCGCGCCGCCAATGTTGTGATGGCAGCACCGCCGCTACGAAGGCGTGCGCCATCTTGAGAGGAAAAGGAGAACGCCGATGGCAGCAACGTTATGGCACCCAGCAGCTCTTTTCACCAGAAAAAAGGCTCGCTAGTGGTGACCAGCAACGAAAACCGCACCGCACAGCGGATCCATCCGCACCAAGAGTTCAACAATGGCATTGTTATGAGCGCTCAGCCTCTCCGCGATAATCAGCTGTTCGAAGTCAGGATCGACAAGAAGGTAAGCGCCCCCACCACCACCCTCGAGTAGAGTTACTGCACCGCACTTGATCGGCATCTCTGAAGGGTCAGCTTTCAGCTGATGCACGTTTCGATTTCCGAAGCGCACGGGCACGCGACTTCCTGGTGGAAGTTTACCACCGAAGCTTCGACGAGCTGGACATGTTATAGCTACCGGCGCTTGGAACGGTGCTTGCGGCGACTCCAGAAGGGGGCGAGAAAGTAAAAAAACAAATCCCAGTTCGATCAGCTTTACACCTTCATCGTTGTGTAGTCGCACTTGTAGCTAGCTTTATTATCTACGCGTGCTTTGATTTCCACCAATATGGAAGACTGATTCCCACGACGGAGCCCACACTGCGCGCAATTTCCCGTTGACTGCCCCGAAGGCGAACCATTGCTTTTCGAAACTAATAAGCGCCGATGACAGCGCGCCCAGTGGGAAGAGGTAAAGAGAGTTTGTTTTCGAATAAACTGCACATCATTTGCATTTTAAATAGGCACTTGTTGACGTACATGGAGCGACGTGATGAAATGCCCTGCGCGCGACGCGCCTTGTGTTTCCGTCTAGGAATAATTTGTGGAGACGGCGTCGGAAAGTTGTTCCTCCGGCTCGCGGTGAAAGACTTTTTTTTTCTGCTGCTGTGTTGTTTTCCTCGATCGTTATATTTTATTTTGTCGCTCCTTGAAATTAGCCAAGATAGCGGTTTATTCTCAGCCTGCAGATTCTATTTGAATTTCATGTGCCTCCGTGCCTGAATCTGTCAGGGGTTTTTATTTTTGGGTGTTTCTCCCGGTAATGTGCCTCTCTACATATTTTAATCATTAATTCCTGACCTTTTACGTTTTCTCCACGCTAACGCCCACCTACTGGAGCCCCTTTGTGTGTGATAAAATTTATGAGCAGCTCATTTCTTACCTAATGATTCCTGCTAATTAACACGCACGAGGTGTTTCACGGAGGAAGGAAGCAGCATTTTCTTCTTTTTTTTATGAATTGTTGTATATGGCAGGCCATCGTAGTTCAACGTATAACAAGTACAACAGCCAGTGAAAAGTAACTTTTGGACCCCCTTTAAGGGAGAATAAAGAATGCAAGGTAAATAGCTGCATTCTATAACTTTAGTCACGTTTGTTTTACAGCATGTAGAGGGTTCAGAAGCATCTTAAAAACTGCAGTAGGTTCGAAAACTGAACAGATAAAATTTTCTTTGCAGTATGCACCCATATCGCTATAGGAGAACAGCGGCGACATTGTTAGTACTGCATGAAAATGGCTGTGCCCCATATTTGCAGTGATGTCTATAAATTCTAGAAAAGGCAAAAGACATCTTATGTAATCAATTTAAGAAAATTCAATCTGTCTGGCTGTAAGGAATCCGTACTTGGAAGCTATATAACGCCGGAAAAGTGGCACACGCAGCATGGTAACGTAGCGTCTTGGGCATATTACTGTGTCATACTATCTGTGTCACGTCTTTCTCGGTCCTTGTGATTCTGTGCGCTATAAAACATCAGTGCGGCGCATACAGGCAGCAATGTTAAGGAGTTACTTGGTGTAAAAATTTAGTTATGTGAGGGCCTGTGAATGTTGGCTGTAGAAGTGGCCTGGATTGTAGGGCACTAGTGGATACACATGCCTACATAATAAGGGGCTTTAGATTGTGAACCAATTCCTATAGTGATCAGAATTTCAGGATTGTGATTGACTTTCTTCCGCTTCCTGTGCAAATGGGCAAATCACAATGACAAAACTTCATCATGATCAAAACTGCACCCTGCGGCATCGGTTAAAATAGCAGGAGGAAATGCAGGGCTCATGGTAAATATTGAAACTTTCTGTTGACTCAAGTGTGAAGCCAAAAATTGATCAGTGAGCTCAGCAATTTGATGTTGGACATCGTAGCTCTTAGGTTCATGTAGTGCCCAATGCAGATCATGAATACACTCAGCATGTGTACGTGTGTGTATGGTGCCTGTGATCCAACAGTTTCTATGAATGTTCCTGAATTTTTCGCATATGACAACTGCAGAATGAAATAGAATGAATAGTCACTTCATAGAAGTTATTGAGCCAGTCTATCTTGTGCTTGCTGAGCTTTAAGTAAACTTTTCTCTTGATGAAATAGTTTCCTGATGTCTCAAAAATTTGGGGTGACGATGCAGGCGACTCCCTACCCCTTGTTTTATTGGGTGGTTTAGCACTTTGTATTTCGCGTCTTTGAAAGCGCACAGAAAACATCGAATTTGGAAGACAGTCCCATCACAAAAGATATCCGTGAGCGCCGAGTACGGAGAGCGAGTGCTTTGTTTTATGCTTGATAAACCATGGCCTGGTAGCTCTTTGTCAAGCATGACAGCCATGTGTTTCTACTTTATGGGGTCAACATTAAAACATAGAAAATCCACCGAGGATAGGGGGCAGGTATGCCATTGAAGAAGTAGGAATTCCTATTTTGGTACCTCTGTGTCCACTTATGCAACTTGTCCAAGCCTTGTTCCAACAAAGGCAAATCATAAAAAATGCCTGCATATGAGCTGTTGGTGGTTCGTCACCCAAGCCTTAGTTGGCCAAAATTATATGCTACAGCGTCCAATGTAGGCCATACGTTGCTTCAGGAAGCCAGCACCTTCGATAACCAATCAGCGAAGCACATCATGCAGGTGCAGTGATGGAAGTGGTGCTCCAATTGCTCTAAACTGCTCCAAAAGAGAAATGCTGCTGCAGCAATTTTTGTTAGATATTCCTTCAAACCTACTCCCAAATGGCACTGATCCAATGACAATGACAAATTTTTACTGTGTGACCGACTCACAAGTCCTACTAAAGAAACTGAAAAAGAATCTGTGCAGGATTGTTTTTATCTCATACTGATTGTCTACTGCCTGTTTGAAACAGTTGTATGGGACTGTGGTTAATTCTAAAATGTGGCACTCAGCTTTACGGGTTTGATTTTATTTCTGCTGCAAATACCAGCATTTTAAATGCGTAGCTCATTTCACAACACATTTTTGACAACCATCCATATTTTTAATCATTTGCTTCTTAAAATTTATTAAATTGGTGCATGGCAAATTTTTCATCTACTCATAAAACAATAGCTTCTCTAAACAAATACTTTTTTTTCGCTTCGAAAACACTTATGGCTGCTCCAAAGGCATATTTTTTCTGCTCCAAAGTATGCTTCAAAAGCAAAAAGTCATTTCCGTCACTGCAGGTGTCCACATGGAGTGGTTCCATAGAAATCGGCGTGACGGCCCTGGACCCCGGCACGCTCACATTTCCGTCGAGCGCCACCAACCTCCGCGAGGGCTCTTGGGTCATGTCCGGCACGGGCGTGCTACAGGACGGCAAGACGCTGATCGAGGAGTATGGCACCGACCTCGACCAGCTGGGCGAGGGCGACCGTGTTGGCGTCATGCGAACGTCAAGCGGCGAGCTGAAGTTCTTCGTCAATGGCCGTAGCCAAGGCGTGGCGGCAAGTCACATTCCACCGCATGTGTACGCTGTGGTCGACCTGTACGGAAAGTGTGCCCAGATATCAATCGTCGAGGATGGGGATCCACGTGAGTTGATGACTGCATTCCTTCTGTTTCTCATCATCATCTTTAGCTCGTGGAAATGTGACGTGCCAGGGAACGTTGAAAATCAGAAAAGTGCTGCGTGGATTTTTGTACAGCCTAGCGAGGAAGGAATAGGCGCAGCAGTTCACGAACAAGTCTTATGTGTATCGACACACTGATATAACAACTCGGTGCAAATTTCTCATGCCTATTGCTTCACATTAGGTAGCGAAGACTAGTTTCGCACAACTTCTCTTTGTGAAATGCACTCACTGGTCATTGCCTGGTCAAACTAATATAAGTCAGTTTGCAAAACATGAAACTCGTTGAACGACATTTCTTTCTTGTGAGGATTATTTTTTTTCCCTGTAACTTGAGAAGTGTGTGCGCAAAGAGAGACACACTGGAAGTCCTGGAGGAGTTGTCACTCATAAAATGCTTTTATACGCTTAGAAGGTTTGAAAACTTTCGTGCAAGTCCCCGGCATTAGCAGTATGTTGGAAGATGATGGGAAACGAAGAATGCAAGTGCTAAAAGATCTTGGAACATAAGAGGGGGACGGAGAAATTTACTTGAAGGGACACTAAAGTCAGCTATTAAGACAACGTTGATTGTTGAAATGTCTTTCCAGAAACCTCGCAGTGTTACTTTTGTGCCAAGGAAGGACCTATTCTGAAGTAAAATCATGTTTTAGTGCTCCACGTCGGGTTAGCGCACTTCAAGTTACCCGCCTCAGGAAGCGGACCGACCCGACCGTCTCGCATCACTGTTGCCGTGCTCAACGTTGCTTGGCTTTACTGCGCTAGTAGCAGCAGACCGAAAGCAGCGGGAGCCACAGCAGCAGCAACGGCCATTGATCAATTTGCCACCATTGGCTTCGAGATTGCAGACGCTTTCGTTTCAACTGCCACCCGCTAGATGGCACCACCTGTCCCGTGTAACCATGCAAAAATTGAATTACTTGCACCATTCCCCATAGTATCATCCGGCAGTTCTTTTTTCCATGATTGAAACAGAACGAACAAGTAGCATTTTGTTGCATCTCTTAATGCACGGAACGTTCTTTATGTAGTGCAGTTAGATCAATTACTGGTGATTATCTGTAGGCGGTCCGTCTGATGCCATCAGTATCATTTTGAAAATGCCCTACTGCGTCGCTTGTGTTCTTGCGTATTGCCACATGGTTTGCTTGGGTGAGATCGAAGTGTGAAAGAAGACGAAGACGATCTCTCTGAGCCGCTGCTTGAGTAGTCGACTAAACGAGCCCATTTTTTTATCAAGTTTGTCGAGAGTAACGTGACAAGACTGGTGGAGGTGCTGGGTACAACGTCTTGCAATTCACCCGATGCCCAAGACCCCGTCCAGCAGCCGGAACACAAGCCCTGCACCTGTGGACACTCCTGTTCATAGAGTAAGCCGCCGCCAACGAGGCCTACCGCCTGAGACTCCAACCACTGACGCAGCGACTATGACTTCGACGCAAGATCCCATGCAAGCTCCGACACCTTCCACGCCGATCTACTGCACCGTCCAGAACCCGCTCATGCCTAGCCCCTTTCACGGAGCGCAGCATGAAGATGTTGACGACTGGCTGAGTGAGTTCGAACGTGTCGCAGCGATCAATTACTGGGATGATGCTGCGAAGCTCCGGAACGTGTACACGTGCCTAAAAGACGGTGCCAAGACGTGGTTTTTGAACAGGGATGATGTTCTGACATCTTGGCGCGAGTTCCAGCGTCGCCTCCTGGAGACCTACAGGAGTCCCGACCGCCGCGAACGGGCGGAGCGTGCACTTCAATCACGCATCCAGATGCCCAACGAGACCGTCTCGATGTACGTCGAGGACATGACACGGCTTTTCAAGCGAGCGGATCCTGCTATGGCAGAAGAAAAAAAGTTGCGCCACCTCATGCGTGGTGTGAAGGAACAACTTTTTGCTGGTTTGGTGCGTAGTCCCCCCAAAAGTGTTGCTGAGTTTCTTACTGAAGCGACAACAATGGAGCGAGTACTGCACCAACGGTCTGCCCAGTTTGACCGTCAAGTGAATGCTGCCTCAACTCCCGAGATTTTCGCCACCCCTGAGAGCAAGAGCCCCGAATGGATTCGCGAGATCATTCGATCTGTCGTCCGGGAAGAAATGGAAAAGATGTACGGGACAAGGCAAATCGATGTTGGTTCTATCACCAGTGTCATCCGCGACGAGGTCCAGCAGGTGCTGCACGCCCATCGTTTTCCGCCCACGTCGGTTGATCTGGAAACGGCTCCTGTGTCTACTGACAGTCGCCGTCGTACGTACGCGGAAGCCTTGCGGTCTGCCACTCCTCTTTCGGGTCAAGGAGTCCCGATCCAGCCAGTGCCACACGTCCCGATCCAGGCAGTGCCGCACGTCCCGATCCAGACAATGCCATACGTCCCGATCCAGACAATGATGCCGTCAGTCGCGATTCAGTCAGCGCACGCTGATTTGAACATCGATAGTCGCCGTACACCGACGCGCAAGTCTGATCTCTGGCGTACGCCAGACAGACGACCCCTCTGCTATCATTGCGGTGAGGCTGGTCACATTTACCGCGAATGCCCATACCGGCAACTTGGACTGCGCGGATTTTCCGTCAATTCCCCTCGTCCCCGAATCGGTCAAAGGCCAAGGGATATTGAAGAATATCTCGCGCAACAGCGTGCACCCTTTACACGATGGCAATCGCGGTCACCATCTCCGAGGAGACCCGCAGCCACTGGGCCACGTTTTGGGGTGACGGCACGGGAACGCTCCCCGAGCCCTCGTCGGGAAAACTGAAGGCAGCGGCCTTCGGGGGCAAGGTCGCTGGGACTCAAAGTGCGGAAGACCTCCCATCGATGCTTGCACGCAACGCCGAAGGCATTTCGTCCGAGAATAATCGCAGTGCCGAAGAAACGCCGACATCCGCATCTGAACTTAGTGACCGCGTGTCGCTCGACATACCTGTGCTGGTTGACGGTCTTCAGGTCAGTGCATTGGTAGACACTGGTGCAGACTATTCGATCATCAGCGGGAGGCTAGCGAAAGATCTCAGAAAAGTGATCACGCCGTGGAATGGAACGCGAATTCGAACAGCTGGAGGACACGTTGTAACACCGCTGGGTCGCTGTACCGCAAGAGTGAAAATTCGTGCGTCAACGTTTGTGCTCAGCTGCCTCGTTCTCCCCGACTGTTCGCGTCAGCTGATTATCGGCATGGACTTCCTTCGGGAATACGGTGCCATCATAAATCTCCGTGAGCGCATCGTGACCTTTTCGACTCAAGGCGCAACAGATCGAGACGTCGATAACTGCCATAGACTTGCGCTGCGTGTTGCTGACGACAGTGTGACGCTGCCACCTCGAGCAACTGTTCCCATCGAAGTCACTTGTGAAGACTTCCAAGACGGCGACGTGGTGGCTGAAAGCAACTTATCACTTCTGCTGCTCCAAGGTGTATGCGCCGCCCGAAGTGTTGTGCGCGTCCGTGACGGACAGTCAACGATACTAGCCACGAACTTCAATTACGAGCACCGGCATCTTTTCCGTGGAACCACCCTAGCTTATGGAGAACCTGTTGCCGACGTCACGGAGTGCTTCGCGTCCGAGGAAACGCATTAGGATAAGGAATTTCTAGACCACATCGACATTAATTCGACGCTGTCAGACGAGAGAAAGGCTGCACTTCACGACCTTTTAAGGGAGTTTAGATCTTGCTTCGCCTCTTCTTCTAAAGTCCGTCAAACACACCTCACGAAACATCGAATTATTACCGATGATGACGTCCGCCCCATCCGGCAGCAGCCTTATCGCGTTTCTGCCAAAGAACGCGAGGCTATTCAGACACAAGTAAAAGAGATGCTCGATGACGGGATTATTCAACCATCCAGCAGCGCTTGGTCCTCGCCAGTCGTTCTAGTAAAGAAAAAAGATGGAACGCTGCGATTCTGTATTGACTACAGGAAGCTTAATAGCGTCACAAAAAAGGACGTCTACCCGCTTCCACGAGTAGACGACTCCCTCGACAGGTTACGACGTGCGAAGTATTTTTCATCCATCGATCTAAAGAGTGGCTATTGGCAAATTGAAGTGGATGAACGAGACCGAGAAAAAACCGCGTTTGTGACTCCAGACGGGCTTTACGAATTCCGAGTTCTTCCCTTCGGCCTCTGTTCTGCACCAGCCACTTTTCAGAGGATGATGGACACAGTTCTCGCTGGCTTGAAGTGGCAAAGCTGCCTTGTCTACCTCGATGATGTGGTCATCTTTTCCGAGAGCTTTGAAGAACATCTGAAGCGTCTGAGAAAGGTTCTGGAAGCCATTCGCACAGCTGAACTTACGCTGAAACCCCAAAAATGCCATTTCGGCTATGAAGAGCTGAAATTTCTGGGACATGTCATTAGTGCAGATGGAGTGCGACCTGATCCAGACAAAACTGCTGCTGTCGCCGCCTTCCCTGTCCCATCAGATAAAAGAGCAGTACGCCGTTTCATCGGCTTGTGCGCGTATTATCGCCGATTTATCGCCAACTTCTCTAAGATAGCTGAACCTCTTACGCGACTCACCCGAGATGACGTACCCTTTACTTGGGGCGCAGAACAAGATACAGCGTTCACAGAGTTACGACAGAGAATGCAAACAGCCCCAGTTCTTGCCCATTTTGATGAGGACGCTGCTACAGAAATTCATACAGATGCCAGCAACGTCGGACTTGGCGCTGTCCTTGTACAACGACACGGCGGCGTTGAGCATGTGATAGCTTACGCCAGTCGTACTCTTTCTCGAGCCGAGACCAACTATTCTACGTCAGAAAAAGAATGCCTCGCAGTCGTGTGGGCGACGACCAAATTTCGGCCTTACCTCTACGGTCGTCCCTTCAAAGTGGTGACTGACCACCATTCGCTCTGCTGGCTGGCAAATCTCAGAGATCCATCCGGCCGTCTTGCACGGTGGAGTTTGCGTTTGCAGGAGTTTGACATTACGATTGTGTACAGGTCAGGGCGCAAACACGAAGACGCCGACGCGCTTTCTCGAGCACCTGTGGGGAACGCTGTCAGGGGCTCCGAAGATGAAGATGCCTTTCTCGGAGCAGTTAGTGACTCCGAATTTATGTCAAAGCAGCGGGCAGACGATGAATTACGCCCAGTCATTGATTCCCTGGAAGGCCGCAACTCTCAGGTCCCTCAACACATTGCTCGCGAACTGTCCTCTTTTTGTCTAAGAAGAGGCATTCTTTACAAGAAAAACGCCCGTGGTAGCGACAAGGCCTTCCTACTCGTTGTTCCTACCGACATGCGTGATGAAATCCTCCTGGCGTGCCACGACGAGCCCACGTCAGGACATTTGGGCTATTCGCGAACTCTCGCCCGAGTACGCCAACAGTATTACTGGCCGCGACTATCAACTAGTGTACATCGATATGTGAAAGGCTGCCGTGAGTGCCAGCGCCGCAAGACTCCGCCTGTGAGACCCGCGGGCCTGCCCCAGCCGATCGCACCACCACGGACACCGTTTGACCTCGTGGGAATGGACCTTCTCGGGCCCTTCCCTTTGTCGTCCTCTGGAAACAAATGGATTATAGTTGCGACAGATTATCTTACGCGTTATTCTGAAACAAAAGCGTTACCCCGTGGCACGGCCTCTGAAGTCGCGCAGTTCTTCGTGCACCAAATCGTCCTACGGCATGGTGCCCCGTCATGCGTGATTACGGACAGAGGGACGTCGTTTACAGCACGAATGATGGAGGACATTTTTAAACTGAGCTGCACAAGTCATCGAAAAACAACGGCTTATCATCCGCAATCCAACGGACTGACAGAGAGGCTTAACAAGACCATAGCGGACATGCTGTCAATGTACGTGGACGTACAACATAAAACCTGGGACGAGATTCTTCCATACATCACGTTTGCTTATAATACGGCAACGCAAGAAACAACGCGATTTCCGCCTTTCCGACTTGTTTACGGACGCAACGTGCGAACCATGCTCGATGCTATGCTTCCGTGCGACGAAAGCAATGAACTTGCTCAAGATGCTGAGCAATACACTCAGTACGCCGAAGAAGCTCGTCAGCTAGCTCGCATAAACACCAGTCACCAACAAGATGCAGACGCACGACGTTACAACCTCCGCCATCGAAATGTCACCTACCACCCTGGGGACCGAGTGTGGGTGTGGATCCCTGTCCGGCGACCAGGCTTATCCGAAAAACTCCTAAGCCGTTATTTTGGACCGTACAAGGTTCTTAGACGAATCACAGATCTTACCTACGAGGTATTTCCGGACGGCGCAGCGTCTTCTCGTCGACAGCTTCGGCCCGAAACCGTGCATGTCCTTCGGCTGAAGCCCTACTTCACACAGTAGCCCTTGTGGTTTCACGTGCTACGACATTCCGTGACATTGCGTTGCTGCTGCTGTTTGTGTTCTCGTGTGTTTTTATGCCCTTTCTTTTTGCGCTTGGCGGAAGCGTTGGCGAAACTTCCTCATTTGCTCTGCGAGTAGTGGCACTCTCCCTCTTTTAGTTCTCTATATCTGCGTGTGTATACCTTCATTTTTTTTATTTACGAGCATCGAGTCGATGCTTTCAAAGGGGGGGACTATTGCCACATGGTTTGCTTGGGTGAGATCGAAGTGTGAAAGAAGACGAAGACGATCTCTCTGAGCCGCTGCTTGAGTAGTCGACTAAACGAGCCCATTTTTTTATCAAGTTTGTCGAGAGTAACGTGACAGTATTCACTTTAATTTCTCGATAAGTAGGGCACTGTTGTTGATAATATTGTCGTTTTAGATATTGTCAGACATAGAGCTTTCACTCTGACGTAAATTGTTATTTGACTTCAGTGTCCCTTTAAGGTTCACATCTTCTGTTAGACACAATATGAAGAAACTTAACAGGTGACACTAATGAAGGTGTGGGGTAAATTATTTTCATGCTTCAACTGTAGGGTTGTAATTATGACACGGGTGGAGAATAATCGCTGCTGATGAAAAATCGAGGTGCCGCTGGTAGGGACGTAACCTACAGCGTTCAGATAATGTCTCCAATGTGTTGTAGCTTTCGCCCTACTGGCAGCAAGCTCATTTTTCGTCCACTTTAATACCTCTCCATTTGTGTCATGACTACTGCACTACAGTTAAAACACACAAATAATGTTCCCTATAGCTTCCTCAGTTTATTGTTTGTTTGTTTCATCAAAAGGTGTGTTGACTCACACCATTTTTTTTTTTTTTTCAGCACTGTCTGCAGGCGACAACATAAGCTGCGAGAATATTGTCACCTTGGGAGCAGCTGCCTGTGCACCCCCGTCTGATGATCCTCTGCGATTCCACACCCGGTGCGGTTCATTGGTCCAGCTTTCCAACGATAATCGTACGGCAGAGAGGCGGCGGCCTTCGGATGAATTTAACAACGGCGTCGTTATGACTCACAGGTCGTTGCGAGACGACGAGTGGTTTGAGGTGAGACTTGTCAAGGTTATTGTTATTCGCGCCTGCTATTCCCATCACTTGGAGTAGCTTGCTTTCTAAAAATGATTTCGGCTAGAATGCACTCACACCTTGATGTAATGAACCCGTATATAACAAATTTTCGGTTATAATGAATTAAATTAAGAATATCTCTGTCATATATACCATGCGGCAAATATATGTTTATAACGAATTTTCGGGTATGACGAAGTACTTTCGTGGCAGGTGCGACTTTGTTATAATCAGGTTTGAGTGTATTCACTGAGCAAAAAGAGAAGGTGTGACCCAGCTGATGTTCGTATCTCGGGTCTGTCATTCGAATGTCTGCTCGTTTGAACAAGCTTTTTTGATTCAGTTTTATGGCAGTCTCTTATTGTAGTTAACTGAATAGAGCAAACTACATTCTGCACCGCTACTGTGGTCTAGTGGTTACGGTGCTTGAGTGCTGAACCGCAGGTTGCAGGATCGAATCCCGGCCGAGGTGACCGTATTTCTATGGAGGCAAAATGTTAGAGGCCCATGTGCCGAAATTTACAGAGCACTCCGCTACGACGTCTCTCATACATAGTCATGTTGTGGTTTCAAGGTGTCAAACTCCAACAATTATTTTTAGAGCCATCCCTTGAAGCTCATTCATCTAGCAGTGTCCAGGCCAGCCATCCTCGCTGGCTCATGCCCCGAATATCAGCTTTACCGCGTCTGGTGTTTGTAATGCCCATGTTGCTGTTGGCATCATTACGCAGCTGTAAACATGCGACTGTTTACAGTATGTGTGTGCGTACAACATTTGTACATGTCTGTAGCTCATTTTATAATGTTTCGCTCAATAAGAAAATTACAGCACAGCCACCTTCCCACTGCATGCTGCGCATAACGTGGATTTCCAAGATACGTGAGATCTGCCAAATTTTGCAGCGGTGCTCTGCGAAAGCTACACTGGTAGTGGAGTTTATAAAATTGATCCTTTTACACATTTTACAGTATTTATTCTGATTCAAAATGCTAAGGTATAGCATCCTCATACATTACACCTATATAATACTTAACCTATTGACTCTTTCGTTACACTGCCTATTCAAATCGATCACCGATGATCAACACTTTTGGATCATCTATTTTGGCATGTTAAACTTGTTTCTCGTACACCCAGCACTTTTTAGTAGTTAGTTCAGCCACTCAACTTTCAGAATCAATTTGAATTTTCCCATTTTGGCAACATTGTGATTTTTGACAGACCTTCACGCGAACCAATGTGCGTGTACTGTTGGAAAAGTGCACTGGGCTGGCGGACTTGACAGAAGTGCGGGCCCCTCGGGAATATGCGACAGTAACATCAAAGTTCGGTAAAGAAAATAACCTTTGCAAGCCAAATATCGAGTTAAAGTGTCAGCTTTACAATTCGACCATGTTGAGCAGTAATAATTGCCATAAATTTATGCCAGCTATTCAATAGACAGCTCTTCCAAGGAGTCAGGAAAAATTTGGTCGACAAATAATATTTACTAAGGTCCGCCTTGTGTTTAAAGTGTTAAGGTGGCCTTCTCAGCCAGTTTCCAGCAGCTTTGGTTTCGCTTGCATCGTTATATTAGACACAGGGTCCCATCTCATATTACTAGTCGCTGCTATGAAGCCGTCGTCACGCGCACAAGAGTGCGCACCATCGCTGCAAAACACATGCGCTGCTTGAAACTGCCTTGCAACCCCATCTGAATTGAGTGAAGACGAGCTTAGAGTTCGAGGATGACAGCACCTCAGCTTCAAGTTTTGCGGCAACGATGTTTTGCATCAGCCTGAGACATCCGCAGCCTTTCATGGGTTTGCTTTGTTTACATCCTCAAGTCATCTTCTCCGCCGCGAGTGCATATAGCTTCTGACATTTGTGCACAATCTTATAGCTACTGTAGTTACGTGCGAGATTCACAAGTCGCTGGGGTGCGGTGTGGTATGCGCCGGCTGCAGAGCTTTTTGCCATGGCAAGAAGGTCACCGGTACACATCTTGGCCCTAACTACAGAGCAGAGCGAAACATTTCAGGGCTGTGCGCGATATTGTTCTCTTCTTATTTCTTATTTACGATTAGCAAAAGTGCAAAGAAATATGCTTGGAGGCATGTATTGGAACGCCAGCCTACGCAGAGTGAGGTGGCTCATGGAACGAGGTGACGCTAGGTGAAATAGTGAAGTTCATCGGACATCTCATTTATAGAGGGATTATTCACATCACGGGTATCCATCTATATTGGATTGCCTGGAGACTTTTATCACAAGACAAAAAAAATTTACTGAGAAAAGTGTACGAGTTCACTTGTGTCTCACGAAACACCATGCAATTCTTCACTGCATGGCACAAGCAACGAAGCAGCACTTGGGTTCTGAGTTTCTTTGTCTATGGGAAGAGAAACATTTTGTACAACATTCATTATTTTTTATAGTATTCCTGGGTCAATTATCTATAAAAGGTACATCTGGATTTTTTGTTTCGAATATTTTTTATATGTAGCCTTTTTTTATTGCACTGTTTACCATCCGGCGACTGAAAATTCCACACTTTTAACATTTTTATGCATTGTAGAATATTTTTGTTGCTCTACAACATATATTTTCGAAAAGAGCGTTTCATTGTGGGAAGTTTGGTATGCTGCAATGCGTGATACAGTACTTTTGAAACTGTCAAAAACGACCTTCCCGAGACATATGAAAAATAACCATTTTCGTGCGGTAACGAAAGAGTTAAGCATGTCTGAATAGCAATGTTTCTGAATGTAGCAGAATTCAGTACTTCTAGAAAAAGGCAGTTGATCTGATTGGGGTCAACTTTTTGTTTTGGAACAAAAATGGAATACTAGTAAGATTGTTTAGAAGCTGGTTCTTAAAAGGCGGCACTTGTTTGTTTTGTTTGATACATATGCACGCAATGTCCTCCATGACAAGATGTTCAGTCAACAGAGGCACTTGTAAAAGAGAGCAATGCAGTCAATGCTGTGGAGGCTAGCAAGACTTCTAGCAGCAGATGTGCTAACACCTAGAAATAAGTTTCGTTTTTTAATGTGGAATAATAAATAAATCGGAAGTCTTGGTGGCTTAGATATAAACAACTCTGTTAGATGGATGTCAATACATTGTCCTGCATCCCGTTTTATTCTTTTTGCTTCCTTGCTTTTCACTTTGAAGCGTCGTGACGCTTGACGTGCATACTTTTTCCTTGCTCATATGAGCTCTTGCAGCAATAAAATGCAGCTATGGGACCCATGAATTTATAGTTTGCTGAGAGTTGTAGATTATATTGAACATATTCCATAGCCTGTTTTTCTATGCCTTTCATTGAGCAAGATATAAACGTATCCACTTTTAAATGTGTGGTTTGTCGTCGCTGTTTCTAGCAATTTTCTGTCTTCACAATTTATGTGGTGAGACTTCTTGCCGTGCAGTTGTCTTGAAGTACTCCCTATTTTTGGGAACCTGTTTGTCGGTGTGCAGCTTCGAATCGATGAACTGGTCAACAAGTGGTCTGGCTCCATCGAGCTAGGAGTGACGACTCACAGTCCCGAGACCCTGGAGTTCCCGGCCACCATGACGAACATGCGCTCAGGTCAGTTTCGACATCGTTGTTAAATGAGAATTTGCCTGTTCACCTTAAATGCAAACGGAAAGAGTCACCGAAAAAAAAGCTCCAACTGGACTACCACCAAGGACAGACTGCTTCTTTAAACAGACGGAAGTTCTGGGTCGCAGAGAGGTTGCAGAATGATTATGCCGTCATCTTAAAGAACAAAAAACAAAACATTGCCGATTTTGTTTCTTTGGGTAGTGTGTTTTACGTCATTGAAAACTGTCAGGTGTTACCAACGTGCGGGAAAGAGTTAGCACTAGACAAGTATCACTCGGTGTTCTTCTCTATTGTACTATACATTAGTTACACTCTGCAGTTCACTGTTATGAGTGAACTATGCCAGGAACAAATTTTTTTTAGTATAAATTTTGTTTTCACGTCAATGCCCAATACCTATTTTAGTGAAAAGCTGCCCTCCTCTCTTCATTACCAGAGGCAAATTTACCCTCGACTCTTCTGCCAGGTACCATAATGATGAGTGGCTCTGGGATCCTCACGAATGGCAAAGGTAGCAGGCGGGAGTACGGCAACTACAACCTGGATGAACTTCATGTAAGTGGTGACTGGTGCAGTGTTCTTGTCTCAATAATCTGTTCAAGCCATTTAAACAATGGCTTGTTTTTTTTATTTATTTATTTTCTACTGGGGTAGCACTTGAGAATGTAGAACAAGAAAGCTGATTGGTATGTGGGGTATAACGTCCCAAAACTTCCATATGATTATGAGAGACGCCGTAGTGGAGGACTCCGGAAGTTTCGACCACCTGGGGTTCTTTAACGTGCACCCAAATTTGAGTACACGGGCCTACAACGTTTCCGCCTCCATCGGAAATGCAGCCGTCGCAGCCGAGTATCGGTGGGGCAACAAGAAAGCTGCACCATGGAGTGAATTTAATGGCATTACAGAGTTATTGTACAATCTGGTTCTAATCGCGGATCTATAGCACAATATTGGGCATACGGTGCAGTTTGTTGGGCATGCATCATGCAATGGTTGTTGAGTGTATTGCTTTAAAGTTAACCACTGACACAATGCTCGCACAGGGTGGAGCTGTCATTGCAGCAACCATTCTTGGCATTCCTCTCGGATGATGAGGCATTCATCTTTTTAGAGGATGATATGGAGAGGACGGTCTGGAGGCCACAGTTCACATTGTGGTAGTTGTCATCAGGTTGACACATTGTTACCAGCATCTCACTGTTGTGGTAGTACTGCTCTCAACACGCCATCATCTTGCACAGTTGTGAGAGCTTACGCAGGATCATGTTAATTCCACACTAAGTTGATGGGGTGGAGGAGAACTCAGAAGAAGTGCCAGCACAGTTAAGAAATTTGGAGCCGAGAAGAAATACAGAAGTCTGCTCTTGTCTTCTTTTTTTTTTCTTAGCTTTATATCTTACTATATTAGGATGCAACCGAAAAAGTCCAGAAAGGCCTTGCTCATACGACGGAAGCGTTGCAGAGATTGCCTCTGCGGCTAAGGAAATAGGGCCACTCGTGCACTCGGCGTTGTTCGCAGAGGGCCAGCTCATGACATCAGCCCAGAATGCACACCCATTGGTGGATGCGTGAGTTTTTGAGGAGAAAATTCCGCAGACTTCTAAAGCTGTGTCCCATTACAATTCGCCTAACTTAAGTTATCTTTCGCTTGCTATGCCTGTGGCGCACTCCAGTTACACCACTTGCAAGACTACAATGACTTGCCCCGCCGTGCACTCCTGATGCAGGAGGGCGACAGGATAGGGGTGGTGCGCAAGTCCAACGGCAACCTCCACTACTACATCAATGGCATGGACCAGGGTGTGGCCTCCGGCAATGTCCCCAAAGTGGTGTACGGAGTGGTTGACCTTTATGGCATGACTGTCAAGGTCACTCTGTTGGACCACAACGAGAGCTCTCGCCGGCATGTGGCATCTCCCAGCGACGAAAGCAAGGCCATTAAAGGTCAGAGAAAGAGAAAGAGCACTCCTGCTATGGTTCTGAAGCCAGCAGTGCACCGTCGTGCACGTCTTGGCCTTGCAGTGTAGTACACCAGGAGATCAGGAAAGTGAAGACGATTTTTTTTTTTTTTGCCTTTGTCGTTGTGCTGGTTGTAGTCATTGCTGCTTTACTAGTTGCTAGCTGGTTCAGAGGGCCTCTTTTGTAGTCAGCTAGGCACTAAAGAGAGTATGTATAACTAGCACAGTTAGCCACTTGCTTGAAAGACAAAGGTGCAAGTACATATCTAGGAAATTAATGACATGGTGGTACTTTATGCCAGCATTCAGCTCCTGTATTGGCTGAGCTCAGTGTTTGAAGTCAAGATTTTAAGGCAACAGACATCACTCACCTCTGCTAGGTACAAGTAACGAATTTGCAAAATTGAACTCAGTGTTGAATGTTATGATGTCTCTACTAGTTTTCAACAATTGCTTGACACAGACCAGGGCCGAGTGCACAATAATTTGTTGTTTAACTAAGAGTGACGTCACTAGGGTTCATAACCTGGAAGTTGGTCAACACTCTTAAATGCATTCAGATAAGAAACGTCTCTGTTTTTTAAAATATGCCTGCCCATTTTCAAACAACTTGCTGCTATTTTGAGCCTATGGACAAGTAGAGCATAACTCTTCGAAGGAAATATCACTCATGAACCACGTAACATTCTTTTTCTTTAAGGTTCCTCAAATTTCGCTCTGATCACAGACTTTGCAGTGCTTTGATGTCCTGGATCTGTAAAGTGCTGTCTTTTTGCAGATGACACAAATGACCGGGAGACTGAAAGGTTGCTGTTCCACCCACGCTGCGGTGGACGCGCTGTGGTTGTCAACGACGGCCGCACTGCCCGTAGGACCCAGGTCTGTTCCTTTGTAGCTTAAATGAGTAACCGACTTTTGCACAGAAATAAGTTTTCACAGGCCACCTTCTTTACTTATGGAAAGCTCATCCTACAAAGGTGAAACGATATTGTTCCAACTGCGATATTTTAAAGCTAAGAATAAAAGCTCAGTAGGTTATGCGCAGACAAATGATGTTGGTCTGATAGTTGGACTATATCCAAATAAGTCTTCTGCTTTTTTTACAGACCTTGAATTACCTTTTATCTTGAGGCATTCATTTAAAGTAAAAATACAGTAAACTCTTAGTAAATGTAAATCTGTTAAACGGAACTGCTGCTTAAATGGAACAAGTGCTTCTGGCAGGATTTGTTTCGGGCTTGTATTGTGCACCATTAATAATATCTCAGTAAATGAACTCCTGCTTAATGGAACATATTTCTTGGTCTCTTCATGTTCTCTTTAATCGGAGTCTACTTTACAAGGAATGTCATACTAATGTGTCCTGTCTTTTGGGATTCAGATATTGTAGCATTGAGTTGGTGCACTTGTGCACCAACTCAATGACAGCAGTGCTTTCATGAAAGGCCACAAGTGAGATTAAGAGTCATAAGTTGGTAAATTGGAGCCCATGCATTGTAACAGTCCAATCGCATTTGCCATTATTTTGCCATTCTTCATTTTCTTTGACATTTAGGTAACCATTGTTGACAGAATTGGAGACTGATAATGGTGTTACAACTTGCCATTGTCACTGTAGTCAAACAGAAATAGTCTCATAATGTGCATCTCTTTGATTAGAATGTGCTGTTGGGCTAGTTGGTAAGATGAGATGCAAGACTTTGAGTGCTGATGGCCTGTCTTTCTTTTGCCATCTTTGGTGGCTTCCATCGTTGCTAATGCACATTCTTAGTTAATTTTTCCACTGATGTTATATTTTTGGCTTCGGTCAGGTGCATTGTTGCATATATACATGCGATCCTTTGTGCAGAAGAAACAGTTAATAGTGAGCACCGTTTGTAGTGTGTGGTCGCGTGTGTGTGTGTGTGGAGGGGGGGGAATGAGGAAGAACCAAGTAGGGCCTAATGCTCAAGATGGCGGCTTTGTTCAGTGCCCTGGATGGCTTCAACAACGCCGTCGTCCTGACAAACCGTGCATTACGTCCGGATGAGCTGTTTGAGGTGGTCCTGGAGCAGCAGGTGTCCAAGTGGACGGGCTCCATCGACATCGGTGTGACCATGTTCCCACCGCACCTGCTTGAGTTCCCCACCACAATGACCAACGTACGGTCGGGCACCTGGGTGATGACTGGCTGCGGTGTCATGCACAATGGCACCGAGGTCATCAAGGACTACTGCCAGAACCTAGACACCTTGCAGGTACAGCACTGACCGCCATACACTTCGATGAAAAGAAAGATCTCTCTGATGTATGACATTTTGTCAATATATACATTGGACAGTGAAGCTGTGCTAGAGGCATGCATACCTGCCAACTTTCCTGATTTGGCCTGTGAGACTCCCGATTGTATGGGCATGGCCATAAATATCTTGAAGAAAACTGCTAGCATTGTTTGGAAAATAATAATAATAATAAAATAAATTACTGAGAACATCAGCTCTGAAATTTTCTGATCACTTTGGTCACTTTGGCTGCAGCACACTGATGTCATGCAGCAAGATTGTCAAGGGGCTGCTAGATGACATGGGGCGCAGCAGATGATGTCCTTAAAATGTGATCACTGACGTGTACAAACTTTACTGGCAATCATTCGTATGTCGTTTCAGGGCTGAGGAACAGTAAATTAATACTAACACAGGTTTTTTTAGCTCTATGTTCGTCCCCTGCTTTACGGTGGGGGGTCTCTGAATGTGAGCCCAGGCTCTCGGAGCGAACAGCGACAGCAGATGCAATCGGACCAAACCAAACAACTCATTTGTTTAACGGCTTTTACAACTACGAGCTTGTCAGCAGAATCAAAATACATCAATAATGATAAATACGCCAGAATAACCTTACACAATATTCCACAACAGTCAACAGCATAACAAACACAAGGTGGTGGCGCCAACGCTCGACTCGCCACGAGGGCCCCCGGCAGACGACCCGCGGTGCCGTCTGCTGCGGACCCGCCGCAAGAGATGACTGCTCGCTCTGGCAGCCACACGCCGAACAGACTCGCTCATTCATCATTCATGTGCCGCCACCCAGGCTTGCCGCCAGGCGTCAGTAATTGCGCTATTGCGCTAACCATGATGATAATGGTGGTAATGAACATTCACGAGCACAACACCACCTACCGCTCGATAGTTTTGAACCCTAAATGCCGCCTATGCGAGAAACATATTTGCGCCACGAGGTGCAAATGACTTTACAGATCTCTCGGACTTCAAGTTAGCCAGGTTGGCAGGTATGGGTTTGTTTGCTGGCTAAGACCTCGGTTAAACACAGAAGCACCCTCTGCTACATTCGAGCTTGTTCTTCGCTTGAAAGCATACGTGATCCGCACAAAACTGTGTATTTCTTACTGCGGCAGCAAAGAAGGTGCGTTGTAATGGGCCAATGTCGCGCTTTGAACGAATCATGTACTCAGGTTGGCGACAAAGTTGGTGTGAAACGGACATCGGAGGGAAATCTGCACTTCTACATCAATGGAGTGGACCAAGGCGTAGCTGCTCGCAATGTGCCCGCTCGAGTGTACGGGGTCATTGATCTTTACGGGCAAGCTGCCCAGGCATCGGTGGTGGACCACTCTGGTGAGCCGTCACATTGTATTCCCGTGTTTGCTTAGTGTAGTGGTTCTCAACAGGGGGTCCGTGGACCCTCTAGGGTCCGCAAAGCCATTTCTAAGATTTGCAAAGCCCTCACCCGCTTTTTTTTACATTTTTTATTTTTTTAGATACGCAACTCTGTTTAAAAGTGATTGTGCCATGTATTGATGAACTGTCCAAAACGAAAGGGCACGCTTGTTTGATGTTTTTAGTAGCAATAAAAGACACCTGTTTCACGCTCCAGTTATGGTAATTTACCTACGCACCCCACCCTACCCCCCTCCAAGGGGTCCCCCATCACTTCAACCAGTGCCACAAGAGGGTCTCCGACACATCCATGGCTGATAACCACTGGCTTAGGTGTGTTAGGGACCTGCTGCAGACTGAGCTTGTTATTGCTGTTTATCAGCAAAATGTCATTGTAACTTGTTAGAATAAGTTAGGTGTAGGTATTCACTGACATAATTATCATTTACTAAAATGTATCCACTAATGAAAAGTAAATCCTGTATTATAGCAGGAGCACTATGCACTATGTGCTGTGCTTTAAAGTTCTGAGTTATCCAACTCTGTTATCCATGCATGGTAGCTTAATTAAAACCAGTAGACGCTTAAGCCAGGAAAACCATAGGGGAAGTTATTTGTAGTCTTCTGGCTGTTGTAATTATTAGGATATTAAATAGTAAGAAATTAAAATAGACGAAAAGTCGACTTACCGTTGGCAGGAACAGATCCTGCAACCATCTCATAAAGCGTCCTATGCTCTATCAGTTGAGCTGCAGCTGCGTTCATTTTCCCTTTCACTCTACCCGCTATTTTGTGCATGCAAATGTGGTAGTGTTAGTCAGCATCTCTCGTAGTCATGACAGCAAGCATATGATAGCTGTATAGTATCTATGATAGCTGGGGCAACAACTCTCTAACTTTTCTAATGATCTTGATGTGGTAGGTGCACAAAAGTTTGCTATGTAGGACATTGAGTTGCTTTCTGCGAGTAATGACGTGCATCTCATACAATTTTCCAGGTCCAGAGGCAGCGCCTGTGCCAGAACTCCAGTTGTTGGTGCCATCACCGTCCCTGGCTCTGACGGCCGGTGAGCCGCTGGTCGCAGAGCTGCGCTTCAGCAAGAGGCATGGCCGCAACGCGCGGGTCCTTAACAAGGGGCTGACGGCAGTGCGCCCAAATGCGCATGGAGAGTTCAACTTTGCCATCGTCATCAGCGACCGGCCTCTCGCTGACAACCAGCTCTTCGAAGTGGTTATCGACCAGATGGTCGACCGATGGTCGGGATCCATCGAGGCTGGTGAGTCTGCAGCACGTAAAAAAAGAAAGATTGAATGGCAGAGCTAGGTTTCTGAATTTCAGATGCCTAGTCCTCGAAAATTTTGAAAGGAAGGCTTCTGAGAAACTGGCCTCTGCCACGTGTTTGGCTGGCGCTAATTTGCACATCTGAAGTGCACGGTCTCTTATAGGTCGAGGGCAGACTTAAGAAAGGGCAGTGAGCTTCGCAGTGGACATTCCTGCTACAGCTCATGAATGTGCTGTAAAGTTCACGAACTGAAGCTCTGTGTGCAATATAATGTCAATGTTACAATTGTCTCAACATTGCAGGCGTCACGGCTATCAGACCCGAAGACCTCGAGTTTCCTAGCACAATGACAGACATCACTCATGATACGTGGATGTTGAGGTAGGCAGTCCAGTGTATTATTATTATTATATATACTTTTTTTGCACTTGATGCATTCCAGTTTGATGATATTTTTGCTCAACACCATTGGGTATTTAAGCGTTGTACCATACGTTCAGGAAAGCATAGAGACATAGGGTGCCAGATTTGCTTAGAATTAAGTTTACACCGACATTTTTTTTACATTCGGTTCAGGGAATAAGGCACGAAAACCTATCTGAAAAGTACAGACATACACCAGCCACTGATTTTTTTACAAGCACTTTGGAGATGTCTGATTATTTCAATCTGCTGGCACTAATGCTATCTTACCCTACAGCAAACATATAATGGCAGGATAAGTTTAGGTAATTCCTATTTGACTCGCTAACAAAACACTTTGCAAACATTCTTATCTTTATGCAGTCCTAATCACTGTTGCAGTGACTTTACAGCAAAGTGCCTGATTGTAGCGACACTACAAGTCCACAATTTCTCTTGTTTCAGAAAACATTTAGCATCTTAAATAGTGAATCATTAGCATAGTGTACTCAATTGATATGATGCACTTGGTGAACTAATGTAGGTTTATAGTGAGACACAGTGCGCAGAACACTGGACACAGGAAAACTGGATGCGAGATGTGTGATGACACAGCACCTGTCCTGTGTTCTCTCAGCTGTGTCCAGTTTACATTGTACTATGCCCGACTATGAGCTCGATTAATGCATGCATATTTTTCAACAGGTTCTTTCAGCTACCGTTCTTGTTAAACCTTATAATCTGACTTGAATATTTGTTTCAACTTGCCCAGTGGCTCAGCCATCATGCGCAACGGCAACACTGTACGAAATGGCTACAAGTGCGACTTGGACCAGCTCGGTGTCGGAAGCCGCGTGGGAATGATGCGCGACTCCGACGGTTGCCTTCACTACTTCGTCAACGGAGAGGACCAGGGAGTTGCTTGCAGGAACATTCGATCACGTGAGCTGCATTTTCAAGGACTTTATTTTGCCTTCTCGGAGTGAATCTCATTGGAACTGATAGTGAATCCTATGAAGGGGACAATAACACTCAGTGAAAAGTGTCGCCGAGAATACCCGCAATCTCCGTAACTTTCACTTTCTTCTAACACCGAGAGACCCTGGATTTCACCAATGTAGTGCACCACATTTGCCGGTCTTACTTGCTGTTGTAGCTTGGTGGCCTAGGTGTTGCACTGCTAAGCTTGAGGACACCTGTTTGACTCCCTACCATGACAGCTGCATTTTGATAGTGTCAAAATGCTACATCTCCAGTGCAGTTTTAATTTGGGTGCATGTTAGTGTACTTCAGGCAGAGGTGTAGCCATCGGGTGGCACACCGGGCTCGTGCCTTCCACGAAAATTTTTTTCGCCATGGCAAAGAGAGCGAAGAATGATCATTTCAAAGGGGTGCCCTCTTCCCTCTTCAGAAAGACATTTTTGGCTATGTCCCTGACTTCAGTTGAACAAAATTAATGTATTGGTTCCCTGCTAAGGCGTGCCTCATAATTATGTTCGTGCTTAGGCCTATCGGAACCCGGAATTTGATTTTTTTTTTTATTATAAGTTTACCAGTCTTCGTCACTTTCCCCACATGCCTTGGCTTGTGAGAATACTGAAGAGAATGCCACTGCGTGTCTTTAAATTGTAAGGGCAGGTTGGTGGCGGGATCTCATATTCTCCACCCTACTACTATTGTAGAAAAAGTTCATTCTAACATCTATGCCTTTCGATGTCATAGGCTGAACAAATTTCCCGTTTAAAAGACGCTATGTGCCCTTCATCCTACTGAGAACTGCAACTTCTAGCATAGTCGCAATTAGCCCGTGAGCTTGCGTATCACAACCCCACCGCAGTGACCTTGCAAGTGTCTAGAAAAAAAAAAAAAGAAAGAAAATGTGCCCGTTGGTCGTCTGTACAGGGATGTTACACAAGCACTGCATAATTCTTGTTACAAGCTCTGATAGTGGGAAGTTGACCTAAAATACACAATTAACGGGTGTGGCCTTACAAGGCTTCTTTGGCAAAAAAAAACTTTAAAATTTTTTCACCTTTCTTTACAGTTTATGAGATCCTACACTTCAAATCTGCTTCAAGAATCAGTAGATTGTAGCTTTCTTTGAATGCAACAAACTTTGCAGAATTTGGCTAAACAGCTGCTCAAGTAGAGCCATTCTTGAATTCAACCAGCCTGTCCAAGTAAAGAAGATTCCCCCTCAATTGAAATCGATGTCTCGATGCAGTGAAAGAACAGATGCCAATATGTTCTGGTGGAACTTGATTAATTTCTGTGCCCCCCTCCTCCCCTAATTTCAGCTGTATGGGCTGTGATAGACCTGTATGGCCAGTGCGCACAAGTGTCCATCGTGCCACAGCAACGGGTATCGCCTCCGTCGGCCCCACCCGCCAAGGTGGCTAGTCCCGAGGTTACCAGAGCGAGCATCACGCCTGCGCACAGTGTGTGTACGTACAAGGGCTCAAGCCTTTTACCGCAAACAGCTGTCTTTGCCGTGTGGCATGTGCCTGCCATGGCAGGCACAGGCACATCACGAGGGTGGACCTGCCATGCGGTATATCTTCATGAGATACACCACCAACTCTGTACCAGCCACATGGCATGTACAGAGTTGGTGATGCACGTTATGGTGACACAGATTCAGTTTAATCGCATGGCAGATACAGATTTGGTGATGTGATTCTGCAAGAGCACATCGTTTATTGTTATGGTTCTATGCTGGTCGGTGCATGACATTGAATTGCTAGATAAGCTCTCGTCAAATATTAGCAAAGCAACACAGTTTACCTTAATTTTGTGCCCGTTTTGTTGTGTTCATCCGTAGTGCACCTAATTTAATAACATAAAGAAATTGATAGCATAGAGAAATATTAAGCTGCTCAACTCTGTCAAAGTTTGTAACAGTCTTAGGACAAGTTTCTGCACGCTCGAGCAGCCTTTGGGAAGAATATAGTATCAGCTAAAGATAGCATTTGGAAGTTCTTGAATATTTGTAGCGGTTGGCTTTCAGCTCGTGCTTGTTCCTTATATGCAGTACCTAACAGCTAAAGCTTGTTCTTTCTTGAGACCACTCTCGGTGATGTGCTCATGACCGCGCACGTCTTTCACCGTGGCGCAGCTGTCAATCACCAGTTCAACACCTGCTGCGGGAAGAATGTGGTCCTTCGGAGTAATAATAAGGTGGCGTTCCGCTCTGCTGGCTTCAACCACGCCCTTGTGTTCAGTGCTGCCCCGTTGGAACTGGAGGAACTTTTTGAGGTGCGTGTAGTGTCAGTGCAGAAATGGGAACATCATTCTGACTGACGCTCTTGTTAACAGTTCAGTTGTACTGACAGTTTAGAAGTGAAGTGATGGGTTGGCCTTGTTAAGTGGCACTTTGGGACCAAAATCAGCCAATATAGCGAGTTTTCGCTGACCATCTCTTTATGTTCCTGACATAAGTGTGCACCTATTTACAAGTTTTCGTAGCTGAGGGCTGTAAACTGCTATCATTTTCCTTTTTTCAATATTAAGCAAGAACTGTGGATTCAGTCCTTCGAATTGAGGTTGAACTGTGAGCAATTTTATGTGCCTTTGCTGCAATTGAGGAGCAATATTTTTTGTTCTACCTCGGTTATCATTGCTTTTTTTTTTTCTTCTAATGTAAAAAGATGAAATATGTCTTGAGGTAGATTCTGTTGTAATACTTTTATTAGAAAATGTTCTTTGGTAGAATTTTTGTTTCAAGCGTTAATGAGGGCATTTTTTAAGCTCAATTCAACAGCCTGCAACTTTGATTGGACATAGCTGAAGAAACAGCGATTTTTACATTACTGCATGCTACCAAGATTCCCAATGTGTTCTGTGGGTTGTACATTACTGTGCAGGTCATATCATTGAGCTAATCAGGCCTTAAGTAAGGAAGGAGCTGTTTGGAATATCTTGCAAGCTATATATTGTAGAAAAAAATTAACTGCAAGTTTAAAATCAGCTACAATATACTTGAGTTCCATCAAAATTTATCAAGAATTTCAAAAAGAACTTATGAACTTTCTAAGCCTCTTACTTTGACAGAAGCTAGAAGATTGGTTTACTGTGTCTGTTCTGTGGCACCATCATCACCATTATTGTTGTATCATAGCTATACTACCTTATCATCAGCTCCTTCCTTGACATATATATCGCTAAGAAAAAGGGAAGTCTGTCCACTATACTGCCCCTTCTTGGGACCTGGGTCTTGTAACCATTGCATCATTTGCACCTTGAAAATAGGGGACAGTTTACAGGAAGTCATGAGAACTTACAGAGAGTTATAGCATGTATGTCTTGGAAGCCACCGAAGACAATATGCTGTAGGAGGTGAAGGGATGCATATTCGAAAGTTGTTGAGTTGTTAGTGTCTGGCTATGAGAGCCCATTGTAATCAGTTGATTACAAGGGGCTTCGATACAACTTCATCTCTCTGTATTTTTTTTTTATGTGCTCTTGTGATGGATAAACTTCAATGTGCAATGGCACACTAAACAGCAAAAGGTAATGCTGTTGGCCTATTTGGTGTTGCATTGTCTGAAGTGAACGACAGTGCATACAACACTGACGAAGAGAGAATGACAACACGAGCAGTAACAACCGTTTTCCTTATTGTGCCAAGGCAGTCAAGAAAAACGTTGTTAGTCAGCACTGGCGTTGTTCTATGCAGAGTTATTCAATCATATGAGTTGCCAAATTCTCCATAAGCTCCATGTATCGAAATCTGGACACGTCATGGGCCCCCTTCCTGTGAAGAGTGAGCAGATTGTCACGCCACCTGGTGATATTCACGCCCACTATCAATCGCATTATTTGTGTTTTGTGTCGCCGCTCCCAGGTGGTGCGAACATCAGCTAACTCCCAAAAAATTATGCCAACTGCAGTGTCCTGATTTTGGAACGCAGTTTCGCAACTCGTATAATTGAATAACTCTGTTTCTGTGTTCATCCATGTGGTATACACTATTATTCACTTCAGGCCACACTGAACACTTCTTATGTTCAGGCCACACTGAACACTTTTTTTTATAAGATAGGTTGGTGCATCTTTACTGTATAGGTTTGGCTGTTTGATGTATGACGCTTTTTCGCTCGTGTCCTTCTCTGCAGCCATCTTGCAACTAATGAGTATGCCTGTTAAATCACTTCTGTGAAAAGATGCACACTTATCTAGTGTGAGCAAGCACTTTTGCAAGCTTTGAAGTTCGAAGAGCATGCTCATTTTGGTGTTTGTTTCTGCTGTCAAAAAAATATGTTCTGCGATTCTCTGTTTTTTTTTTTTTTTTTTTTCCTTACATGGTTAGGTTCAAGTGGAACAAGTGAGCGCAGTCTGGGCCGGTGCACTGGTGCTGGGCCTGACGACGCTTGCACCCGAACCAGGTGTTCCGCTTCCCCCCACAGCCCTCCGTCTTCCAGGCCACCAGTCGTGGCTCCTGGTTGGCTCCCGCAGTCTTCCACAATGGCACCCTTCTGAAGGGACAACTACGGGCCATCCTTACATAGGCTGTCGGTTAGTTCTTGCCTCATTTTACTTAGAACTGTCCTTGCAAGCTGCTCCTGCAGTGTGTAACAACAGATGTCAAACGACGATGGTGTATCGTTGCCTAAGACTCTACTGTATTTTGCTCAATGATAGCCAGGACCATTTGTGGTACCCTATTCATCTGTTTAGTCATAGGTGAGTCAAGTTAAGTACTTATGAGCCAGCTAAAGATGTTTTGCGTACGCATTATTCAAGCCTATAACACGTCCTCCTAGGGCTACAAGTTAGTGTTAACACTTGGCTGTAAGCTAAGTTAGTGTAAGCTAAGTCAAATTATTTAGAACATATTTGCACAGCTCACTGTGCGAACCATCATGGTAACATCAACTGTGATGAAGCGGTGGCAATTTTTTGTACATAGTACAGCTGCCAGTGGTATAGCAAGGAGGTGAGGTGTCATGCATGACGGTGCAGCAAAAAGTGCTTGCATCATATTCTCTTACAAGAAATTCTGTACATGTAGCTATCGACAGTGCACCAGCTAAAATGTTTTTTGCCTCTTGTACAGGCTGGTGAACGAATTGGTGTCCAGCACTGCTTTGATGGGACGCTCCGTGTCCACCTCAACGGAGAGGACTTGGGACCGGCGGCTTCCAACTTGCCAAAGGTTTGTTCGGCTCTTATGTCTCCTGCCCCACTGTCATGTTTCGAAGTTTTATAAATACCTCTTTGCAGTCACAGTAAATTGTAGCTTAGACTCAGAGGTGGGCTTAGATTTGAGGATTCAAATTACATGCTCGGGTAATTCTGATAGGCTAGTTGGTTGTACGGGGTTGTCTACATTTAAGGTGAACACTGAGTTAGTATTCAGAGCCTCATAGAAGCTGATGCCTAATACATTGCTTGAAAAATTATCGTGTTTATCTTACTTTATAATAAGACATCATATAACAGACTTGTTATCGTGTTTATCTACACCATAATAAGACATCATATCACAAGCATTTCCACCATGAAATGCAGTAAACATTCTAGTTTTACTCGCTTGAATACTAACGATGTGTTTCCTTAGGTGTGGCAGACCCTGTACATGATGATTGAGAACAGCAGCATAAAAGTTTAGGAAAACATGAACAACAGTACATACAGACAATGTTGTGTGTGAAATTACTTGTGTTTCCCTAAAATCTTGCACTGCTGTTCCAAAGAAGAAATACAAATCATTACGGACTTGTACACCTGACAGACCTCCTTGGTGCAGATCACTTATACCCCTGTCACACGGCCACCACCAAACTCCGTTGAACACCGTCAACGTAAATCTCCCCCAGGGGGTTCTACGGAGAAGGAGTTGTGGCAGTGTCACATGGCAATGACAAGGTTGTAACAGTTGCCGCGAGGGGGCTCAGCTAGCGCTGTTTGATTTTTGGAAAGGTATTCTAATTTCATCTCTATTGATTTTTTTGAGAATTCTCGTTATGCTGTTTTTACAAAAAGCACTATTAAGTAGGTATGCGACTAACAAACCATTAAAAATAATTTCAAATAAAAACGCATTTGCTAAATGTAGCGATGCTGCTAGTGACGCTGGCCACATTGTGCTTTTAGTTGTTTTGTTGCCTGTGTACATGCCCGGTACGAAATTACTTATTCTTCCTTGCCTCGTGAGCGCACATTTTGTGTTCTTCAGTCATGAGTGACACAGCGGACGATGTGAGGAAGTGGTGCGAAATTGCGCTAGTAATGACGTTGATCGGCTGGCGCCGGCCGGCCCAACTCGCGAGGCACGGTGTGTAGGGCATCGGTGTTGAGAGTAAGTGAACTCTGGCGGGCGTAAATATATGTAAACAAACACCCGTTGTGAATGAGTACTACAACGAAAGAACGTTTAATATTGCCAAAATGTATTATTCTTTCACTGTGGCCATTTAGTGCTCGAAATGTTTTTCTGACCTCTAGACTGCTGGAGACGAGAGTACCTCATTTCGCTGCGAAGGGAGATCGTTGTACGTTCTTTGCGAAATGCTCCATTTACCTTCGTTTGCGTAAGGGTGGCCGTGTGACACAGACCGCATCTTCGTTGTCGCAAGGACGAGGGAATTAAACGGTCTTCGCGGGTGCCCGTGTGACAGGGGTATTAGCCTGCTAGCCATCATCTTATCCAGCGTATAATGAATGTTTCTTGGTCATGCAGGTTCTGTACGCAGTCCTGGACTTGTACGGAATGCTGGAATCGGTGTCTCTGTGCAGTAGCAGCATTGTCCCTGCCACACACTCGGCAGCCACCAATTATTTCGATTGTGCCGAGGTAGGGTGGCAAATCTTCTTGGAGAATGTCGACTATGTGTGCTCTTCTTAATCACGTCTTTTTACTTGTTGCTTTTGTGCGCAATTATGCACACTTATAAGCCGATCATGGTTCAAGTAGGATCAGACATCTCAGAAATAATCCGAGTGAAAGGCCTGTATGGTGTCTGTGCTTCCTGTCAACATTGCTTTTTTTCCCGACATTGCAGCCAAGCCAAGGCACGCCAAGCAAAGAGAGAGTGGGCCAGGAGTTTCACGAGCAGCACGGCCGCAATGTACGGCTGCGTGCAGGCAGCATGGGTGCATGCCGCACGACTGGCTACGGACACGGCCTCCTGCTCTCCACTAAGCCTCTTCCTCGGTGCCAGCTTTTTCAGGTGCAGTAGAAGCTTTTCTCAGAATACTTGGTTCATATAGAACAATGAACATGCTGCTCAAACTTGAATAAGGCAGCGCACAGTGCTCTGTTCAGTCTTTTTAATGCTTTTTATTGCGCTAGCTCATAGATAGTTTCTAGTTGATGTGCAAAGGGCAAATTGATCATTTTAATAAAAATAGTTGAAGGGTGATACACTGCTCATCAAAACTGCTCTAACGAGCAGATTTGTTCGCTTTATGTGACCATAGGAAATTGTTTTGGTGGGCACATAGTGTGTAAGCTTAGGGCTTGTGGGCAACACGCTTTCCCCTCGCTTTGCTGCTTGCTGGCTCTGTGGTAACAAGCTCTATGCATGCCACTCACTTGGTGGCGCACCAGACCCCTAAGCATGAGGGCGCCTCAGTGGCAGCGTTATGGATAGGGGGTTGACAGCATCCAGTGTTCGACACAATATCGAGCAACATCACACAACGCAATAGTTCGACTCTTTGGACCCAGTATGGCAGCGAATGCAGTCAATACAGTGCCACCACCCTGTGTGAAGGGATGCTGCCATTTAGATGCCCTACTCGTGTTCACGGTTAGACCTGAATATAGAGCAACATCACCCAGCGTGATAGCTCCACTCTATGGTGGCGACGCGTTCAATAGGGTGCCACTCTGTGTAAAGGAAAGCTGGCATTGAAGCACCTTACTCTGCATGGCTCACATTGCACCGTCCATGCAGACACTCGATGAAAGTTGAAGGTAGCCTTAATTTTGCCTGCACAGCACATCAACAGTTCTTCCGGGTAGGTTGCTTCTTCTGTTTCGTATTTCTTAGTTTTCAGTTTGACTGCCCATGCAGTGCTGCTGGCTTTATCAAACTTGGCATGCCTTAGGCTAGATTGTCACACAGCTGTACATGTAAGCTTGAAATGTCAGTGCAAGAAAAGCGACTGCTCTAATTGTAAGCAATTGCATGGCCTAGCGTACAATAGCAGAAGCTGTGCTATGCTCCATAGGGAAGATGGCATATTCGTTTAGCCTGTACCGGCTGCAGTAGTCATCTGGTTGGGTCTATTGTGTCATTGCTTTTGAAATCGGACAATTAGTGAAATGTAACCCTCGTCTTCGTGATATCGTGTGTATTCTAAATGTGTGCTTACTTTTTTTATCTTTTACTTTCTTGGCATGCATTCAGCGCTAATGTCACTCATGCCAAGTTTTCTGGTTTTGCCGTGAAATTCTAGGAAAGCAGCTTTGACTTGATGTATTCGTAACCAACCTTTTCCCAGCAAGTGAAAGCAGATAAAGTTATCAAATAATGCTCCTAATGAGGCAGAGCTCTTTTGTGCATGATTTTTGAGTGCCCTTAGTAGCTATCACTGTCAAAAAGAGGGCTTACCCAAGTGGTGCTGAGGTTTTCAGTATTTTTCAGAGGCTCTGTATGGCCACATATGGTAGCTTCAATGTCACAAGACCTTCCAGTGTTCCTGCTGAAAAAATTGAAGCAGGACTGGTAGTTGGGCTAGTTAGTGAAAAAATTAGGTGTGCTTTGCTCGACTGGAATTGACAGTGGCTTTTCCCCGCGTGACATTTCTCAGGTTCGGATTGATCGTCTGAACAGCAAGTGGACTTCCTCCCTGCAAGTGGGCGTTGTTGGAGAGAACCCCGAGAAGCTTCACTTTCCCCTGAGTGCCCTGAATCTGCGAAAACTGGCGTGGGTGATATCTGGCGACTCCGTCTACCACAACGGAATCAAGGCAAGCACCTTTAATGTGGAGGGAGAGAGAGAAAGTGTGTGTGTGTAGCACGTGTGCATTTATATTTTTCCTACAGCCTCGTAAAATTTCCCATGTTGAGAACTGCTTCCAAGCTTTCACAATTGTTTATCAGATGAATTGCAGATTGCCTAATTGATACCCTATCTTCTGACTGCTTTCAAGTTAATGCTTCCCTATTCACTTATTTTATTTATTTATTTACTTATTTAGGGGCTTGTTTGAGAGAGAGAGATAAAGCCAATTTTGTTTTTTGACTGTTAACAAAGAAAGTAACAGTAAGTAAACTGTACAAACCATTGCAAGTGTTCTGACATGGTTAGAAATTCATTTATGGGGTAGACAAAAAAAAAATTTACATAGTGATGGAGCACTGAAAGGTTTAGGGAAATGTACTGCTCATATGCCCATCTGTACGAAAACAGTGTATCCTAATGTTAAAATTACACCACTGTCTAATTCTCGAAGGTGCTGCAATGGTAATACTGCTGTCCGGTGAAGAGAATTGTGGTAAATTTACAGAATTTTGCAGAAGTTTCAAACATACACTAGACAGTGTTTCGGAAGTGTGGTTAGATGCAGGTCTCAAAGATACAAAGAGAATGGGAAATTTCTGTCATAATGGGCAATAAATAGATGTAAACCCTACAAAAGCTTCCAAAATAGGGGTAGATTGTCTCCCAAATAACTGCCATCTGTATTGCATGCCTTTCCTTTCTTGGAAAGCGCTCTCCACTTGCTACTTTCCTGTGACAAATGCTAGCACATCGCATTGTGTCACACTTGTGACCTGGATGTGGTGGTTACACAGAATTTTTAAAAAGTCAAGTCTCATCGCGAGGGCAAAGCAATGGAACTGTGGTAGACACAAACTGAAATGTACAAAGTAAACCTAGCGTTCACTTCTTCAGCCTACAACCTGGTGGAACTCGGCAAAATGCTGGTGTAACAAAACAAGGCCACAGCAGTGAGCGAAGCGACCATGAAGTCGATTGTTGCTTCAACATAGAGGGAGCGTTGAGAACACAGCATGCACAGAAACACACACTACAACTGACTTCTTTGCGTTTCTGCCGTGCTTGCAGGTGAAGGTTGGCTATGGACCCAACCTTGATTTTCTGCAGCAAGGCCACACGGTTGGCGTGCTAGTTGATCTGGAAGGTGGGCTTCACCTGTACGTCAACGGTATGGACCAAGGGGTGGCTGCCAGAGACCTGCCACCCATGTGTTACGCCCTGGTTGACCTTTACGGTCAGTGTGAACAGGTAAGGACGACAGAAGGCGACGCACTTCAAATGAAATGGCGCCAGAGGTAGTAGAAACATGACATAAAAGAGTTTTTTTGTCCATTTTTGTTCTATTTGAATATTTTTTACCCATGGAAGTATGACATTTTTTTTCTCTAGCTTGGGTTGCCACTTAACATCACCGTGAAGTAAAATGCTTATGTCGACAAGCCCGCTTGATGCAGTTACTGCAAAACCAAATAACAAAATGCGTTCTTTCAGGGCGAACTTGTTTTAGTCCTCAGGCACCATATTTTCTTTATTTTTTGTCACTTTAAAAACAGGTGACGATCACGGAGTCTCACGATCAGGACAGCGAACCCGAGGCCGATTCGAGAGAAAAAGCGGACATAGATAACGGTATGTGGTCACGGTTTTCATCATCGCCAATTGGACACATTTTTTTGCAAGCTTGTAGTAGAGAGTTGTGATTGTCACCTCCAGTTTTGTCCGATTTAACCATCACAATCTCGGCTTTCAGGTGTGAAAGAGAAGAGAGTAAAGAACCTTCACAATGACATCCACGCCATCAAGAATTGCGAGTACCAAAACCTGTGCCTGAGGTTCAAAGCCATGCTTGGAATTCCTGGTGGGTAATTACCAGCAGCTCATTAGCTCCCATCTTGCGCCCTTCGTTGAGATGTCTTGAGGTTTCATTTGACCCTCTTTTGATGCGCAAGTAAAGGGAAAAACTGGAAGCTCATCACAGACAGGTTTGGTCCTTCAAGCACACCTTTCTTCTGGGCCCCCCCGAAACCCCTCTTCTTAGTTATATTTTTATTTAAATAGCCCATAACCTGTCAGTAAAGTGTCCTGCCTTGGGCAAATCAACAACAGTGTTCGGGCTTGACTACACCTTTTGTGAGTCATTCATAGATGAGATATTTAAGGTGACAAGGGGCAAAGGGTCTGAAGAAGCAACCATATTTTTTGTGCTATACAGTGCTTGCCGAGTAGACGAACTTGCTGGGATTGCTATCTATTACATCCTTATGTTTTTGAATGAGAAGTGACTGAGGGAACGGTGGTTTGACTCAATGTGTTCTTTTAATTACCAGGCGCTACATGGACTTGCATGCAAATGTGCTCTTCATTCTTAATGCGGAAGACACATTTACCCTTAATATATGCCCCAGGTCAATGCAGAGTTGCACCACACATTAACAAACACATGAAAAGTAGGCTCCTGCTCATGTGTTTATGGTTTTCCTATAAGCCATCCAATGTGCCATTGTTGTTTCTTATGGGAATCTGAGCAATATCGGTCTTCGTGGATGTTTAGTTGTGTTGTGGTTCTTTTTTTTTGCATAATGTAGTTATTGGCTAGAGTAGAATTGCGCACAAATGCGGATGTTATTGCATATGTGCAAGAGTCCATCGCATATGTACCTAGAATGTGCAAGAACTTGCTTTGTTATCATAGTGAAAGTGTAATTGTGCTTGGAGCGGGATGGCCCTTCACAGACACTGCTCATTTTCGCCGGAGAAGATGGGCATGGGCTGTCGTTTGCATACAGCAGTGCGGTTCACTGTTAGTAAGTGACCATGTCAGTTTAGCGTGTGTGCCTGTGTGCTTTGTTTCACAGACAACTACTTTGTTCCTGACATGAATCTGTGCTACTGCGAGACCTGCCACAAGATCCGTGGCGACGAGCCCTACCTCAAGGTTGGTGAACCACCCAGGGATTATGCAGTTCCCTTCGGGTGGTGCCGATTCCCACTCAGGTGAGCTGAATAATCAGCTGTAGTACTGAATTGCAGTAGGTCAGTGCTTTTTTTTTTCTTTAGTGTCCTGTCTGCTTGTAGTCAAAATTGTTAGTTTTTTGAGAATGCAAAGGCTTCAAACAATAGCAGAGCATGGAACACGTGCCAAACATGCAGAGGAAAAAGCAATTCAGGTTCATTCACACGTTAAACAGCAGTCGTTTGTGTGTGTGCCTCTGTGCATGCTATGTTCTCAACGCTCTGCTTGTGTTGAAGCGACAGTTGACTTGAAGGTCGCTTCGCTCACTGCTGTGGCCTCGTTTTGTTACACCAGCATTTTGTCGAGTTTCACCAGGTAGCATGCTAAAGAAGTGAGCTGCTAGGCTTACTTTGTACAACATTTCAATTTGGGTCTAGCGCAGTTCCATTGCTCTAATATTCTGACAGGAATGGCAGGGCTGAAGGATATTTTACTCAAGACGAACTTTTCCGCTACTAAAAAGCTTTTCTTTCTGAGAAATCCGTACGGATTTCCTTGTGGCTTTGTGCTACAAATGGTTGGTTGTCTTCTTTCCCTTCTTGACCCTTCCTCCGCCTTGCCGATTTCCGCAGAACTCATTTGCAGCTCTTCCCTTATGTTCAGGTCACTAGTCAAGGTTTGTAAAGTATGCCACAAACCAAGCCAAGAAAAAGCAATTTCAGTGATCTTATAATTGCGAAGCGTTGCAATAAGGAATGACTACATTCTACCGGGGAAACGAGCAAGTAAACAAACAATTTCGTTATGTACAGAGGTGAATGTATTGTACTGAAAGGTGTAGTGTCCGAGTTCATGCTGTGTTGTCCTTGTCATTTTTTTTTTATGTCGAATGCAGGGAATAACTTCCATTTTTTTACGATAAAATCCTTGTACAATTAAGGAGGTTAGAAAGTGCAGTGAGACCTCGTCAATTTGAAGTGACTAGCATCATGAGAAATCTTCTAATTAAGTGGGTTTTCGAATTAATGGAAAGTATAAAAAGTGGGATGGAAGGAACTTGACATTATTCAAAGTAATCAGGGCTGGTAGTCCGCTGTGCCAGCTAGTTTGCAGCTCCTAGGGTTGTGTTTTCTAGCAATACCTGGTCACAATTTGGCCACAAAAAAGGGGGAATGCCGGGCCTCGCTACTGCTGACAAAAAAAAATTCCTTGTGATCAGTTGAAGTGCGCGCCTGCGAAAAATTAAGAGACATCTTCACTGAACACAGCAGCGACACGCGGACAGCATGCCCACTGCACTTTGCCGTGTCAGCGTGGCATGATGGCGACCATTCGTCAATTCTTTTTGGTAAAATAAAGAAGTTAATAATGGACAGTGTGAAGAAATTCACGATGTGTTTTGGCTGGAAAGCATGACCACTGAAGCTGTTGAACCGAGTTTTCGAAGTAAGCATTCAAGGCGAAAACTCCGCCAGCAGTCCAAGTGCGCAAATGGCTGGCGCAAGTGCACTAAGGCAAGTGAGCAACCGACGTTTGGAGGTTCTCATACATCGTGAATTCTGCCAGACTGTCATTTATTCATTTCTTTATATTCCCGGAAAGAATGGGTAAATCACAACGCATTGACATTGCGAGAAGCATGCAACATGCTGCCCCCGCGTCAGCTCTGTGTTGCAGTAAAGTGCGTCTTGTTTTTCACAGGCGCACATTTCAGTTGATCAGGAGACCTTTTTTTATATATATAATTTTATTCTTGTGCTGGAAGTAGCGAGGCTGGAGTGCTTCACCTGCCATTCACTAGTATTGCGACAGCGAAATCAGGATTGGGACTTGCCACACTGCATCCAAAGTTTTCGAATTTACCGGACTGGTGCTGACCACCGCTTCAAATTATTCACTCAAACTCGCATTGCAAAATATGGGACCGCGGAAATACTTCAAATTAACCGAGTTCTAATTAATGAGGTTTTCCTGTAAGTTGTAGGACCAAGCAGATAAAAACTGAAGTTGGAACGTTCTAATTCCATGCATAAAAAAAGTAAAAACTGAAGGTGGTGCTAACTCCGAAGGTTTGTATATCAGTAAAGTTGTTGGTACGTTGTCATGCCAGCTGCAGCTGTGACGCATCATCAGGACAGCTGTATTCTCAGCCATTGTGCTGTACCACTATTCAATTCCAGTTTGTTCAGCACTGGTATTTCAAGTACCTTGAAGCATTTGTAACAATGCCACTTGTTGAGGTGGTGCAGTGCCAAGCGGGACGAAGGGACTTTGTAGACGCTATGCTTCGCGTTACATTACCTCAACAGAAACGAAAACTACCTAACTAGGCCAAACATACTACTTTGCTAAATGACTCTACTAGTTGGTTGTTAACTAATTCTAGTGAACACTATAGTTTTGTGGCTGACCTAGTTGGCAATACTAGTCCAACTAGACCAACCAGTTGGCCTAGTTGTCACGTTATTGGGTCGTTCTAGCTGGCAATACTAGTTGGCCTGGTTGATCATGCGATGTGGGATGCACAGCACTTTCTTGCATCTTGTGATTGTTCTTTCGCTTTTCTCATAATTCCAACCAACAGGTTGCCATCGAGGCCTGACCACAATTCAGTGCAGCAAAAGTGGCACTTGGCATATCACGGAGTGCCGGTCGCTGCCGTGAGGAAGACCCTGGATCACGGGCAGCTGCTCTCACCAGGTAAAAATTATCTCATGTGTTTTCGATGTATCAAGCTAACTCCGGAATGCTTTTTGTTAAACTTTTCTAATGAGCATAAATCCCTGCGTGTGTGTGTGTGCTAGGAGGAAAGGTGTGTACGGACGAAAGAAAAGAACATTACGAAAGGAAGAATTAAGCGGAACCTCCTAGAATGGGAACTATGTAAGATGTGCATAGTACGGCATGCAAGTGTTTTGTGCAGGAGTTCATGGTAGTTATGTATCGTAACTTATGGGTGTTGTGTAAAAAGTAGTCTTTCAGCTTCACATCATATCCTTCAACCAACTTGCAATGACGTTCCTTGGGGCACGGTCATGGTGTCCACTAAGAAGCGAAGCCAGGATAGCAATCGACAGTGCGCTGCGAACAAGGCCCGGCTACTACGCTATTGTGTTCTACTCGCAAAGGCAAAGCTCAAGCGCCCTCAGAAGTTTTTTTCAACCGACTTGCCATAGACGCTACACATTAAAACTTATATCCACCACTCTCCTTTACTGAAATGGTATCATTGTGAACAGTACAACTGGTGTTGTGTTACATCCGAGTTTTCGTGGACGCTCTTATGATTCTTAGTAGTTCAAGCTGACGCCTTGTGGTGATGCGTTGTATTACGTGCTGTCGGGAGAGAGGGTCGATTGTCAGCCTCTATATCTTTCCTTTTTCATTACAGATAAGGTGTCACTGTGTCAACCTCCCAAGTCGGGGTCAAGGAGCAAGTCGGACAACTTTGAAGGCCACTCCGTCTGCCTCTCCCCGACGCTGCGTTATGCTGGCTGCAGCGCGTTATGCCCAAAGCATGAGTATGAACTTTACCTTCTCTCTGCCTTCTTGTGTGGGTCAGTATGGGTGTGTAGCGGTTTGATACGTAGACCACTTGAGAGAAGTTTTGGGACCCTGTACGCTTTCCATGTTTCATTTGTCAATTTGTTCTGCTAGATGGGCCCTATTATTCCTTTTTAAACTGTGGATCTCAAGTGTGCTGTATTGAATACTGAGGTGAACACAAAAATAATGATAAAAATGGGTGCGCAGATGCAGAAGTTGCTTGCCTTTAAATGTCAAAACCCAAGCAGACAATAGGAAAAAAAAGACGTTCTTTCTTGCATTTATGCCTGCCGGTGGTGTCACTAATTGCTTCCAGTCACTGCATGCCTCTTATGGAGATATAATGGAAGTTTTACATTCAAAATAAAAGCATATTGTAGCATATATCTAACAGCTATCAGCATCTTAAAATGCAGAACGAGCGGTCTGAAAAAAATTTTATCCAAGACCAAGATCTCTAGAGGCTCTATTTGTACTGAACTCATTGGTACTGTTTCTCAAGTTTTTGTTACTGCAGTGTCATTAAACGACAGCTAAGATTAACCACTGATTACAAAGTCGGGCATCAACTCTGCGCTTTATGAAGTTGTCACTGTCCCAGCCATGACAGCTGAATGCAAGGACTTGTGTGGTGTTTAGATTTCGGCCCTATTCGAAGCCTAGGATATTGGTATAATATGTTTACCTTTATAAAAAAGCACTGAAAGCCTCAAGGCATCATAAGAGCGGATGTTCAATGCATAGTTAGGAAAGTTAATATTGTGCTTACTGACATCGTGATTTGGCATCATATAACAGTCATTTTTCATGTGAAGTGCTGATAGCATTCTATTTTTACTGGCGTGAGTACTTGACTTGAACAGTACTGGAGTGTTCACCTTAGATGCAGTTGACCCTGTACATTCTCGCTTGCATTGACTCGAGTTAATTTGACCGTCTCTTGACAGATTCGTCGACCCGAAGACTAGCCGTCAGATGTGGGCGAGGACTGCCTTCCAGGTTTTAGTCCAACCGGGCTCCTACACAACGCACCCTGCCCGCGTGGGCACCACGAGCCCCACGAGCAGCACTGCGTCGAGGGACCCAACCGAGACGTTTTTGGGCGCTTCGGAACTCGAGTGGAGGACCAAAGAGAGGGGTGCCACGATCCTTCACTGCTCTCCTTGTTCGGCTGGAATTCCCGCCCTCCTGATAGACCCCAAAAATAGGAACTCTTGCTTGTTTTTATTGTTGTTGTTTTTTCACTAGTATTTTTCCATTTATGTGGGGACTTAAGTGTCGATTACGCCATCCCCACCCGCATTCATTTACACTGCTGATCACGTCGGGGCGTTGTGCAATTTTCATTGGCTCATTCTTATCCCTGTGCCATCGTCGACGATTGCGTTTCGAACCTCTGCTCTACGTTGCAGCACAGGATAGCCAGTGCATCAGTGTAGATGCTTTCAAATGTACGCGAACAAGCAATGACGTAGAAATTAATTCGCACGGTGCATAAGTACTTGCGTACCCACTTATAACACATATCTGTCGCAGAAATATGTTAAAACGGCTGGCAATGGCTGGCCATTGCCAATTATCTCGAATTTCTGATCATTGATCATTGCTGTGATGATGTGCTCTAGATTCGTTTGCAACCTTTGCGTTTGTCTCGTACGTGCTGTGCACTAAGTGCAGAGCATGTCACAACGTGGACTCTGAGCGTTTATCTTCAATTTGTGGCAAACGTGTATGTTTATAGTGTGTGGTTGTCATGTGCACATAGTTGCTTGGCATGTTGTCACCGCAAATCTCTTCTGCTGTTCATGTAATAAGTAGCATTCATTCTTACATGTCTCTTAAAGTTGTCTCGCTTTTGAGTGCCACGCTGCATGTACAGCATAAGATCAGTGTGCTGTGTGTGGTTGTTTATTTTTTGCCCATTGTACGAATAGGTAACTCACTCATCGCTGTGATTGTACCAGCGTGACCACTGAGTTCATTCTGAGAGGTATATGGTGCTTTGCCTGAAAGATTGGGTTTTTCATTACATTTGTCATTGCCAAATGTGTTCTCAACAAATCAGAACTTTGTAGTCAAATGGGTGGAGGAAAGCAAATTGCCATTACGAGCCAACAGCCAAGACATTGTATTCTGTAGAAAAACATTAACAAAGTGGGCTCTCATTACAAATGCTGCCAGCCTCCACAAAAAACCTTTGATTGGGTGCTCGCGTGTATCATCCATGTGTAGCGTGTAGAACACGTCACTGCCAGTGCCGCTAACAGGCGTGGTTGATATAAACATTGCTTGAATGTGAATTTTCGTAATGTCTCATGTGATAAAATACTTGCGATGACAAAGAAAGCTAAGATGTAGCGCAGTTCTCTCATCCTGCATCTTTTTTTATGCTAATTTTGAGATTTGCAGTATCAACTCTTCTGTTAATTTGATTACAAGGTTGCTATTAAACAATCCTGCTGTAATATAGCTTGCGATGATCACTTGTCTATTTACGCTGACAGCCAGATGGAGAAATGAGTAGTGTTCTGGCTGCTGAGGAACCATACTGTATAAGATGGGAACAGGGAAGATAAGCTATAAAAAGATTTATGATAAATAAAAAAAGAGAGTGAAGTTGCGCATTTTCATCTGCTATGCAGTGTGGCACTTTCCTTTGAATTATGGGCGAACATTTCGACATTATAGCAACCTTTGGAAAACGCACAAAACGCTGCTAAATAATTGTTCTAAAGATGAACAAATTTGTACTTAAGAGGGCTCTGTGAATTTGCTATTCTTAGCCTTTTTTTTTTCTGTTGTGAGCACATATTTGCATCACATTATTTGCGATTACCTTTGTCTCGCTCGGTTTTAGTAATGACACAGCACAACCGTAAGAGTCCCGTCATGGCATTGTATATACTTGCTGCAATTGATGTGGGCAAGCGGGCTGACAACATTAGGTGGTCGTTGATATGGGTAGTATCGACTGTATTCCTAGAAATACTGCGACATATTCACAGTCTAGCAGGTTTCTTGCACCATTTTTGGTGTCCCCGACTTCATCCTAAGATGACAGTCCTCGTATCTGGAGTGTTCAAAAAGCGATTAAACACCCATTTGTTCTTGAACGTGGATGTCCACTCTGAGTGTCTAGTGTAAACGCTGAAACTTTAGGCGCCATCTTGTTGAGGTCTGATTGTCCTCATGTGGTCCGTGATGAAGTTCTGAAACCTTTAATGAACCTGCCTGCTTCCACTGGTTGCCTGGCATCCCTGCTAACCAAAGAAAGCTGTCCATTGAGGCCAGGAGCGTCTAATGCTAGCAACGGTCCAGCATCTAGACGTTGCAAAATGGCCTATTTGCTCATGTTCTTGGCGGAAGTTGTGATGTACTGTACAAAGGGCATCACCCTTAGTGAGATGTAGAAGGAATCGTTTCTGCAAATGTGATACGTTGCTATGAGCAATGCAGTTAATGAGCCGAGTAGATACAGCTGTGCACACGAAGATTTTGTGCGTGGCTACGGGGCAGTTGAATTGTGTTCGCTGGTCGCGCAACTACTATGAATCGCAGTTTAAACGTTAAGGGCCTTTGTGGGATGTTACTGATTCTCAATGTCGTATCGTGTCGTGATCGATTGCTAGGTCCTATTATTGCTTCGCTTCTCATTGCTGTACACCATTAACTGACATTAGGTGTGTTCCAGGAGATCTTCGAACTATTTTTTTTTAATGTATTCTTATTGTGCAAATGCACTCTCCTGTCCAACTGTAAAAAGGTGTTCTAGTTCTCAGCTTGTGATCTCTTGCTGTTCACTTAGTACTGCAAGCAGCTTGCTGCCTAGATAACCATCTTGACATTCATCATCAATTTTGATTTTTTTTTAGGATGCAACCCCTTGGGACATACCTCTTGATAAATGTAGCACAGAATAGGCATGGCCATTTTTTCATGCATGAAGACTGCACACTACGATTTGTGTGGTTATGAGTTTTACAAATATAGTATTAACATGCAGAGACAGGCCGACACTGCGCAGAAAGTGAAAAGTGTGTTTCATGTAATTGCCACTTTGCTTTATTTGTCTCTGTTAAAAGGGCCCTGAAACGGTTTTGACGATTTTTTACAAACAAATTGGGCCGATAGACCAAGTGTCAAGGGTAATTTAGAGACCGATTTGAACCCTCTGCATAAACTGTGTATATTATTACACTATTATATTATTCGCTTTAAATCAGCGAATCGCTCCAGATCGCTGCGACTCGACCAAACGCATTTTCAACTGCCCATACACCAAGCGACACGCTCAGCCCCACTGATGTCACCGTTTCGAGCTGATCTGATTGGCTGTGGAACGCACAGCACAGACTGCCGGTATGGGATCGGTGCGGGATTTATGCGTATGCGGTCTCACGCCACATCATGAAGGCGGAGCTTATCCCCAAGCGCTCGAAGGAAGAGTTGAGAGCACTTGAGGGTGAAAGGCAAAGCGGAGGAGGAGGGTACTTTTTTAGTACTCATAGCTCGCTTAATAATGGGTGTTTCGATTGAACTCTGGTGCCAATTATTTGCTCCAGCAGTGGTCTAATCAAAAACTGAATGTGAAAAAATTGTTTCAGGGACCCTTTAAGTGGCCAACGTACATTGTTTGTCAAGCAAATGGCTTTGAAGCATGTGTCCAGTCTGTGAATAATGTAACAGTGGATTTGACATGTTTCCTTTGTGTATATCTTTTAGGTGCAATGACATACCTATGAAGCCTTCTTTTAATGGGGCCTTAAATGAAACTTTTGAAGGAACAATCGGAAAGCTGCCTTTGTTGGTATCGACGTCTATTTCTCCATTGAGTTCAGTTTTAAAGAACTTTGGACGCAACAGAATCGTACACTCTTGGTAATTTGCATGTGACTGGTGGACATGACGCTTACACTTGCGTTTCATATCAAATAATACAATGCTTGGTAAGGCCGTATTGCAGAGCTGTCATATACACAGGTTGAACGGGTTGTGCTGGTGTGTGATTCAACATGTCCCTATCAGTTGAAGTTTTTATTTTCACTTAAATTGCTAGCGTTTTGACCGCCTCTTTGAAGTTTTTTGCTGAGCTAGACGAATGCCGTGATGTATAATTCAGAGATGCTGGCCTTCCCTATTTGTTTTAAACACTGATAAAGTCTCATTGATGGCAATTCACCTTAATGATTGTCCTAAATATTCAAGTAACTATTTTTATAAGCACCCGATAGTAACAGTGACTCTGAAAAGTTTTTAAATTATCTCCACATACTTTTTCAAAACTCTGATTTATTTGCAGTTTGTGGCGTTGTAGCACAGTTGCCGGTTGTGGACGTATCTGATTGAACTCGTGCATGGGACATGTACTTACCGATGCAACAGGCAAGCCTTGCTAATAGGCGTTTTAGCTCGTGTGAAACATCGTGCCGATAACAAGGCTTATTGTATGTGGCTGTTTTCTCTTTAAGAACTGGCCCATTTACAATCTTTGATAAGACCTGGGCCATGCTTTGTGAAATGCTGAATTTCATCGTTTGCGTTATTTCTGGAGCGCATTTCACAGTGCATGGTATTTCTGTGTGCAGTATTAGCCTATTTTGCTTGAGCTGAAAAAAAGAGCACCTCTCTCTTAGATGATTCCCAGAAAGAAAATGTGCCTCCTGTGAAGGTATTTTCACTGTTATTGGTTCAGAAAGTGATACCTTGTCATGTTCTCATCACCTCTGCAGGCATTTTTTTCTCCCAAGACGGGTCGCTTCAACATTGTATAGTAGAGAAATACACTTCTTTCTTTGTCTATCATTGCCACGGATAACATGTTGCATATGTCTAGTTTAACTTTGAAGTGCATTGCGTACTTTTGGTTAGGTACCAGTCGACAGAAGGTACACCAGAAAAGACCTATCTGGCAACTTAAGGCCAGGTGCAAATGATGCAACGGTTTAGCCAGAAGCATCACTTACACAGTGGCTTTGTTATCAACACGATGTATAGTATTTTTTGTGGTCTCGCTACATCTTAAAATGAACGGTGAGCCAGACAAACTAAGCGGATGTTGCAGCGTACCACTTTGATGAACTTGTCATGATGATAATGATATATTTCTCCCAGAGCACAAGAGGCTTCATGTGGCATGTATGCGATGCCAATCGATAAGAGTCGCCGCTCACATTTTGGTATGTCTGTTACGGACATAACGTCATTCCGATTCCCCATATTTTTGTAAGACACAACTTTGGTCGCTACTCTTTCCAGTATGCACCTGTTCATGATGTCGAAAGATGTGCATGTCTAATGCAGCACAGCAAGATATGTGAAAGAATCTTTGCTATTTCTGTCCCGCGTGACTTGCCATAGGCCATTTTGCTTTGTGTAACATACTCTGTACATACATGTGTTAGAGAATAAGAAAAAAGAGCTAAGTGTATATATATATCTGTTTGAATCGAATCGCTTGTTTTTGTCTTCGTGATTTTTTTTCCTTTCACATTTTACTCTCCATAGTATGTATATTTAACTTCATGCTGCAAATTTATGGTGAAATGGGAGAGACAAAGCCTATCTTTGTTTATGGGTACTTAGACGTTTCTTCCTCTCTTTGCTACAGCTCTTCTTTCATTCAAGAAAAGCTTGTTAAAATCATATCACCAAGTATGAAATGCACTCGTAAGTTACCTTCAAGATATGTAAACGCAAATGGGTTCAGGGAGGGTCTTCTTCCTCTCTCTTTTTTTTCTTTGAGAATGTGCACAAATGAAAATTGATTTGATGTTCTAGCATTATATGCAGCAATTAAAAGTAGCAACTAAGCTTTTTACACTGCAAGTAGTCATCAGCTGTGCACTGTAGTAAGCTTGTCATTCAAAGCATGCTAATGTTCTTGCCTTTGCCATCATTGAAAGCTTATTTTTTCATCATTTTATGAGTTGTACCTATGTGTGAAATCAGTCTTTTACCAAAAAATGAACATACCTACGCATTCATGCGTTGAAACCAGAAGCAGCATCAAATGATAGAACAAAGAAAGATCCTGGCCTCTGTCATGCATTCATGTATTTAGCACCTCAGCTACTTTCAAGCGTGGTGCTGCTGTCGTTGCGTTATTCGAGGTATAAATAAATAAATAATTAACATTGCTGCATGCCACCACTTTTGGCTTGCAAAAAACTGTCACAATTGCCTTACGCATAGCAGTTATTCTGACTTATTATGAGAATGTTCACAAACTTTGTAAATGCAGTGATCATAGCATGAACAATGATTCTGAAGCCACATGCAATGGCTGCATAGTACTGACAGCACTCTGACTCTGCATTAGCCAATCCTGTTATCAGTATAATTTATAACCGCAGTGATGTTCTTCATGGTCTTACAACACTTTGGAATCATTGTGAAAATTTGAATGATGCGTGCTATGAACTCCCTTTATGGTTTTTCTTTCTTTTGTGGTGGTGGCCCTCTTTATTGCAGAACGATGGTGACCAGAACATGTTCTGAAATAAAAACGAGCTCCCGATTGACAACTGCAGCAGAATAGTTCGGAAAAACGCTCGTTGATACCAACTAGGCAACTTGTACATCATTGCAAAAGCAGGTACATCTGTTGGGACAGGTGCCTCCTTTCATACTAATATACATTGTGCTATTTTGCCACAGCCAATTGCTTGGCCCACTTGAACGCCACAGTGTATTTTTTGGTGCTGAGCTTTATTTGCACTTATCTAGTCGGAAGGGCCGTTTGTATGTGATGCAAAATGACACATGACTGTGACTGAAACGACATAATGACTCCTGAAGTGGGTCTTTTTGGAAGTTGGGTTTCATGACAGAGAGTGATGGCTGTTTGCTTTTGTTCATATTTTTTTTCATTAACGTGGTGTTTGTGTTGAGTGTGTCCAGCTTTTGTTGTACAGTGAACCGACAAAGGAACAGAAAGTTGAAGTATACCTCTGCACTGAATCATTTATATTTAAGATGCGCACCGAGGCTACGTGAGTGCGTGTACGCTTCGATCGCTTGGGTGTGTACTTTTGCAGGAGTCAAGCACGTGAGTGGCTTGCTGGGCTTTCCTGGCTCATAGTTTTCACTGTGTTTTTTTTTTTGGGAGGGGGGGGGGAGTCCAAATAAACTCGCATAAAAGCAAAGAGATGCATGTGTGGTTGTGCCTTTGTATACGAACATGAATAATGCAAAATGCATACTTCTGTAGATATTTCTGAATAGCGACACCTGTAACAGTTGATAAACTGTCAAACCCAGTCAGTGTAAATGGCCAGGTAATGGATATGAAAAATAAATATTTTAGTAGAATTGGGCTCTGCTTCCAGCAAACCACCGGATAATTTTTCAGTTATAGCCATTAGAGATTGCAGATGGTAAGCTCAAAGAGAAAGACAGGTGCACTGCAAATGAGCTTAAGCAACAGGTATTTAAGTAGCACACTCCACTTTCAAGACGCAAATCTTGAAAATGAAGAAACGCCAAACTTTTTCTTATGTCATTGCATCATGACAGTGGCTTCGTTAACAAGATTCGGCTTGTTTATTATAGGGATACTGAACAAAATTTTCGCGACCAATATCATCAGTCAAATTGATAGAGACAACCTTCATTTCAAGCAGAAGCTACGGCAAAATAATAAATTTAATGCGTTTTTCAGCAACTGCCGCGTCTAGCGGCCGCGCCGTGAACTAGAGAAGGTGACGTCAGACCCACCCGAAACTGGCAGTTCAACAATGCCACCCATCGCCCGCGTCTCTCGAATCGCTCATCTTCCACTTCGGTTTTCAGAACCGGTATGAACAGCAACAACAGCGAACAATGCTTCCGGCAAGGCACCTGCGCTTTTGTGGAAGGGAAAAAAAGTAGGATGAGAGAAGAGGTGAAGAAAATGAAGAGGAGGACAAGAACACGTGTATCCTGCATATTCCTTCGTTATCGTGACTAGAAGATATAGCTCAAGGCCTAGAAAGTCACTTTACGACACTCCTCTCATACCAAGCCCAGTCCCCCCATAGGGCTGAGGATTTTGAAGAGGTTACACCTGCAGAATTGGCAAACGTAGTCAAAACACTACCCCATTCTCCTACTGGTCCTGATGGCATGACGACGTCGGTGATAAAATCAGTACATAAAATATACCCACTTGACCTACTTGAAATTATTAATCACTCACTTAGAAGCTCTTGGGTGCCACCCGATTGGAGAATGATAAAAGTGATTCCATTATTAAAAAAGCAAGGCGCTGGGCTTACCTTAGATAATATCAGGCCCATTGCACTTACATTGAACCTAGTAAAACTCATTGAAAGAATTTAATATAGACGTATAGATCGATGGATGTCAGAAAAACTGACACTGAGCCCATGTCAAATTGGATTCAGACGTGATTGCTCCATTTGGTGTGCGCACGTGGATCTCGAAAGCAGAATTCAACTTGCTCGATATCAGAAACAATACTCCGCTTTGGTAACCTTAGATATCACAAAAGCCTATGATAGCGTGGAGCATCTGAAACTGCTAGATTCACTTCAGAATTTAGGACTGCCTCAATACTTTGTGGCTGGGATCCATGCTTTCTTAGGTGATAGAGAATTTTATTGCTCGCAATCTGGTGTCAACACTTCAATATACAGGTAAACGAGAGGTATACCGCAAGGGTCAGCACTATCGCCCTTATTACTTAATGCACTACTATGTACCATTCCCATACAGCAAGATGTACAGGCCTATGTGTATGCCGATGATATTGCATTTTTTGCTGCGTCGGCGGACATTCACACACTGTACCTAATTCTGCAGACGTACATGAATAGCCCTGGAAACGTGGCTGGAGGATATCAACCTATGCCTCAATACAACAAAAGTACAATAATATTTATCGCACGAAATGTCCCAGTGCGAATTTCACTAATGTACCGACGAGACGCCATACCTCAGGTCGAGTCAGTTAGGTACTTGGGAGTAACCTACACCGAAACACTTAACTGGAGTCCCCACATATAAAACATGGCTGCTAAAGGAGCACGTGCTGTAGGGATGCTGCGCAGGCTCAGTAATTATCGTGCCGGTTTGCGTAGAAACGTGCTCGTTATGATATATTGCATGTACATTCGACTGATATTATAGAATTCGGCTGTGTTTTGTTCTCTGGCGCTACGGCCTACAAAGTTCGACCACTGATTCTGCTAGAACGCGAATCTTTACGCTTATGCCTAGGGCTACCGAAATATGTTGCCAACAATATCCTATACGAAGAATCCCGCCTGCCTTCTCTTATCAAAAGATTTCATATTCTAACAGTACGTACATTCCTTAAAATATATGCATCACCTCAGCTGGAGGTCACAGTATGTGTTCATTAACCAGCAGACCTCATATTCTTCAACCACCAATGACCTAAATTACGGTACCCTCAAGTAATATTTACTCAGAAACTTTTGGGGCCTTTAAGAGTTAACCTTTGGGAAACACTTGTGCTCAACACTGTAGATGCAATTAGGATTGAATTTGACGATATATATCCCAAGAATGCAAAATATTACCATATCAGTATATAAATGGCATTTTGGATGATCATTTGGCCAATCTAGAAACATCCATTGTGATAGCGACTGACGCTTCTGTTTATGAAGAAAAGGCTGGCGTAGGAATCGTATCATCTTCTCTAGATTGGACTTTCTCAATTCGATTACCCGACTTTACACCTATTTACCAAGCTGAATTACTGGCAATAGTCCTAGCATTGCGTAAAGTGCCGCAAGATCTATCAGCGGTGATTGTTCTAACAGGCTGTCTCTCGGTCTGTACTGCCTTAAGCTCACCAACTTTTTCGCATACCTTAGAAACTTTCTACTCGCTCATTCCTACACATGTGCGACTTGTCCGACTAGTTTGGGTACCAGGCCATAGAGGTTTAGCTCTGAATGAGCATGCAGATGCACTAGCTGTATCTTCCCTTGATTATCCTGTTTTACCTTTTTTGCCTACTTCAAAATATATCCCAGCAGCACGCTTTGAAAAACGGCCAATAACTTTGAAAAATCTCCTTTGTTTGTATCAGACTACCCACAGCTAAAGTTCCCTTGGAAGAACAAGTGGTGTTCATCAAGAAAGGAAGAAATAGTGATTACCAGGCTGCGTTGTCGAATCCTCTCATTGAACTTTTACCTTCACAGGTCGGGTCTGGCACAGTCGCCCTTGTGCCTTTATTGTAATGAGAGGGAATCTTTGGAGCACTTCTTTTTGTCATGCCAAAAATTCCAAACTCAAAGGAAAAGTCTACTAGAAGAACCCCTACGAAAGTTGGTCTTAAACTTGACACTTCCGGTGATTCTTTCATTTGGCGCCACGGAGGAAGGAAAGGACCTTTCCTTCCTCCGTTTGGCGCAGTCGCATTTGGATTCAGCCAAAGGAGCGTTTTTACCGCTGTAACAAATTTCTTACGAGAATCTAAAACAATGGAATGCTAAAAATGAGTAACTTCAGTTGTTTTATGTATAATTTTTTTTTCTTTTTTGTGTGTTTATCATGTTTTCTTTTCAAGATTTTTTTGTATAGAAATTTAACACCTTTTTATTATTACCTATATTACCTAATTAATCCAACGCCCTCTTTCAAGAAGTGAATTAATTTAAAGAAACAAGGCACCGTCCCATTCATGGCCTATCCCCCTAGGTGGGTTGCGCCAAGGTGTTGGGGAACTAACCAATCGTGGCATCGCGGCTCGCGAGCAGCCGCCGCGTGCTGACAATCCATTAAATATACAACCAACTGGTCAAAAATATCGGAAATAAACTCCGTTTGTCGAAACGGTGGTATCTTCCATGTCGAATTTAGAAGTTTCGTCACCTTCACCATTTTTGTTCAGTATCCCTTCAATAGCGGCATCATCACCCTTTTTTCACCCTCGCCTATGCTGTATAGGCGTGACCTAACAAATATGCACTGCCGTGGCTGTGATGTTAGCCTATGCACTAGCGCGCGCAGCCCAGCATGGCGGCGTTTTGTCTCGTCTGTGAAAAGACCCATGCAGTATACCGTGAAGGCTTCTGCGAATGTTCGAATGTATAATGCAGTATTTCGAATTCGCTTCGAATCGAACTTACTGAAAATTTTGAATTATTCAAGACAAACAAATAGATGCATATTAATCCGCATGTAAAGGTGTGTGTGTGTGTGTGTGTGTTTTTTTTTTTTTTTGCAACGAGATGCTAAGCCGCAAAACTTCCAATTCACGTGTAACTTTGTAAAAGTGGTTTCACTGCAGTAAAGTTGTGCTGAGCCGTGAAAACATTCATAAGAAATCCGCACTGCTGTGAAGCCCCACTTCTAAGTTAAATGGAGATGCTGCGTTGATTGCACTCCTCAAGTTCGCTGACATTGGTCAACGCGTGCACGCATCCTCCTTTTAGCCGGGCCACAATTCACCCACTCGTGCAGGGAGGGAGACGCCCTCCGTTTTGACCGACCTCGTATCATTATTACTTTTCTTCTTTTATCGGCTAGGCTTTGCGTTCTTGTGCTGCAGTCACACGGAATACTCGACTAAGTAAACGAGAAATCAAGAACACAACGGCGGGTATAAAACACTGGAAGTGAGATTTGCTAAATATAGAGGAGGGGCTGGTTTAGTTAATAACGCGTCACTAGATAACTTGAAAATTGCGCTTCAAACATAGCCTCCAACCAGAACTGCCTCCAACCGACTCAAGATTGAATAGTTACTGCGATGCTTTGATTTTTAATATCAAATACTATGTTTTACAGTGTTTTATAAAATTTTGTAAACATGATATGTACTACTATTAAATTTAATTGCGTTTACTTTAAGGACGTCGCTATGCGGTGCCCGTCGAAATAGTCTGGTGCACATGACGTGGTCTCGGATTTTTCGCGTTTTCTCCCTGGGCAGTGGTAGTGACAGTTGAAAACAAGATGTTTATGTGCCTGTGTGCCAGTTGCGTGTCCGCGGAGCCAACTTGAGTTGGAAGGCTCTGCGCTTTTCTTTTAAGCGGTCCGTCGGTCACCGAAAGGTAACACTTTCTTCTACAACCTGCCGTCATTCGAAGTCTTTTAACGAGAGTCGGGCAAGCCGGGTGCGCGAACCGAGGCGTGCTACTCGGAATGGTGCCCGAAAAATATGTCCAACCGCAAACAAACAACGCGTGTGTCGACAGTACATATGTATTCAAAACCAACTCTGGTACTCAGAACGCTTGCAATATTTAAGTATTGTTGTATAAACCGCGTTTAGCCGCTCTGACGCGCTGGCTAAAGATCGATGCGTCGTAACTCATGTTCCATCGTGGAAAACGAACCCTCCTTAACTGCCTATAGACTTTAATCATTAATCAGAATAATGGAAACCTCAGCTAGTTTGTACGTATTCGTGTTGAAAAGACAGAATACGCAAACACGGGCACAAGAGAAGTCAGGACGCCACAAACGCTGCCGGCGTTTTGCGGTGTCACCCGCGTGTTTCTGTATGAAAATTCGTTCATGTAAGCGCACTTGAAGTTGTTCTGTTGCCAGTGAAGTGTAAACAAGCGTATCTTTGTTCAGTAAAGAAAAAATCAACTGCTAGTTTGCCCAACTCCATCTTTTCAATTACATCCAGCGAAACTAAAGGCGGTGCATCGACGGTGGTCGCTAATCCTTAATAAACGAAAGAATTACTAGACATGTAAAATTAGCACGTTTTTGACTATGAATTTCAAATCGGTAGGGCCTATTTGGTATATAATTGTGATACATACACGTACTGTCCTTTAAATGCGAAGCATTTCTTTGCATACTGCAAGCACTTCTGGCGTCTCTCTCTCTCTCTCTCTCTGTATGTACATATATACACACACACAATCAAAATCAGTATGGGAGGGTAAGATCATAGAGCTTCCTAAACATACGCTAGAGGGAACTCCGGCGCTAGTGTCTTTGGGAGGTGCAATGCATGGTGCTTCAGCGAGCATAGGAATTACGACTAGTACATGAATTCGCCTAGTCTTTGTATTTTACGTTCTTTCTGGCGTCGCAAAGCTCGAAGCTGCTTTGTCGCGAAACAACAATCGGTAAATGTTCGGCAGTTGCGCTTCACCACCTTCACCGTTTAAATCACCATTTCAAATCAGCTCACAAAGTTCAAAACCGTTTGTTCTTTCATTTGAAAAGAAAAACCGAAACACAGCAGTAAACGAAGCCACAAGTGCGATTCGCTGCCCGCAAGCACGAAGACTAGGCAAATCCCTGTCATACCCATAATTCTCATGGTCGCTGAACGATCAGTGCGCCAGAGTTTTCTCTAGTTTTAGGAAACTCTGTGGGTAGGATGGCTTGACGAATATGACATGCTCGTCAAGACATGAATAATGCCACAATTTCGTCGTGTACATCATCAAACACTTCCCAGACAGTGGCACATACCCAAAGGCGAGTATGTGTTACTGCTATGTGGGTATGTGCCACAGCTGAATGACAGTATCCAGCGAGGAACAACGAGAACAGATATGGGCAATTTTAATGCCTGAGCATTAAGAAAATGCTGACAGTGGCAGCGTTGACCCGACGAAGGCAAAGAATAAATGTCAGTGTCCGAGGAATCGAACCCAAGCATTCTGCGTGGCAATCAAGCATTCTACCAGAGTCACGCCAGGTATCAGAACTACTTTTCAAATAAGCCCTAATGTCCGTGAAACGTCAATTGTGATTGAAATGCTGGATTTCCAATTACATAAACATTACATATGTACTCCTATGATACATCCATCACGTCGGGATAACGTCAGTAGACCATTCGCAGGAAAGGTACCGCGCATGAGCAGTAACCACACAGGTAACAGTCTCTGCGTGGCATTTTGGTTTTGGTTGGAAAACGCGAGCCCTGCCGGTCGGCGGTCGTACATTCTTGTGCCGTGGTTGAGCGGCTTTGCTTTCGTAGTTTGGGTAAATGTGCCAGCACACTACGCGATTTACTTTACTAAGAAAGTAGTGCGAAATGCTGGGCCGGGTAGTTCATGTTTAGGTGCGAGAAGAACCTATGAAAACTTCCGACGAAGGCATGTGATTGAATGTGCCTTCTTCACTGGTTTTTCTGTCATCTAAACAGAGAAATGAGCACGAACTTCGACAGGCTCCTTCCCGTGAGGCTACGCGCTTAAAAGAGAAAGGTTCGGATAACGACATGTTGGATTACACAATTCTGGAGAAGGAGAAAAGAACCTACTTTGAAACAGAGGAGTTTGGCACATGTAACTCGCCGTGGGTGCCGAACTAACATCTATGGATCTTCTTTAGTGTAGGCACGACAGCACACAGTCTCGCATATATCAGCGCTTCTAACAGACTGCACAGTACTGCCATTAGTATGCGAGGATACGCTCTCACGTATTTGTGCGAACCATGAGTGAGATAGAAGCATGGGTAGTTTAATCATCTCAATAATGGGAGCTGCATTTGTAGCCACTTTATTATGTATAGTAGGGGAAACTCCTGTCATGTGAACAAAGCGTAATGTTGCGTATTATAGTCGGTTACAACCTAAGAATAAATGTAAGATCCTCATTCCACGCAATTCATGCAAACATAAACAGAACGTTTTCAGCACTAAAGCAACAAAACGAAATGCACGTGAACACCTAGACATCAGTCTTGTGCATTTTATTTGGCAAAGACACTTCCAACCAAAAGCACAAGCAAAGCTCTCCTGTTTACACGACAGGGGCCGCTCACTTTTCCGCAAATTGTCAATTGTTGTAAGGTACCACACACTGAAGTTGATTTATGTAGCAGTATCCAGGGCTGCCATCCTCGCGAGCACCAGCGCGTCATATCAGGTTATTGCTTCTGGTGTTGCTAATACTCATGTTCCTGTTGGCATCGTTGCACAAGTGCAAACAACTGGTTATATAAGTATCTGCAACATTTCAACATATGTCTGTGCATGCAGCCATTTCGATCAATAAAAAATTATAACACAGTCACCTTGACTCCACATGGTTCGCATAACGTCGATTCTTGAGGTACGTGAGATCTAACGAATTTTTACTGTTATTTTTTTTTTCTTTGGGCCTTTGTCACTTCGTGTGTTTCAGGAGGATTGTCTATTGAAATAGTTGGTCTTTCTTGGCACGAAGAAAGTCTTCAGTGATATAGTTATGAGTCGTATTTATCGTAACAGCTTTGTGAGTACATGTGCACTACCCACAATAGCCCATACAATAACTGACTGCAGGCCTCAAGATGAGTGACGTCCTGGACATTCTAGACTGTGGAACGTCCCAACACTCCAGAGGTCAGCAAGGAGACCATACTGGGCACAGATGCTCGGAAAGTAAGTGCAGCAAGTGACTTTTTAGCCTCACATTTTTTAACCTTCTTCCTTTGCCTCCTTCGTTTCACTGTTTCTAATTAGTTGTCTTCTTAATTATACTTTGCAACATGGTGTCCTAATTTGGATAATTTGGAGACATTACTTGCCTTTGTCATTTCTGTGCACCATTGGCTAAGGAGAGACCACAGATGCAAGAAGTTGTATTACTTCTGGTTGAAATAGTTTTATATGTATGATCGCTTTGGCAAAGGCAGTACCACATTCAACAAGATGTTGGTCATGGGGCATTTTAGCAGGAATTCTCATTTTGTTGCCTGTTTAGAAATGCTCGCTGCTTATAGATAGGCTATCGCATGTAATTTGAGTGGGTCTTTGAATTCAGTTTGTGGAAAAATATAGCACAACTAACTGTTACAACAATTATGTAAATATTGTTATAATTACAATCAATTGCAGTAAAATAAACTGTAATTTATTTTAACACTTCCACTTGCTTCACATTTGGCCTTCATATTATAGCATCAAAGTACGTTAATTTCATAATTTATAGACAGTCAATCATAATGCATGTTGCAATAGTGTTGTACCAGTTCTATAATTTTTTTTTTTTTTTCATCTCCTTGTGCGGCACAGAACAAGCTTATGCAGAAGCGGAAGCTCATTGAGGCCACCTTCAAGCGACCCGAAGGGATGCACCGGGAGCTCTACGCCCTGCTTTTCTCAGATGCTCGGTACGAAAAGGGGGGCAACAGTGTATTTTCTTATCCATGTACTCATGACACCATTTACCGTGGCAGCAGTAAGTTACCGCATGACTGTCACCCTCTGTTAGGAAATAACATGCGAGATAAAATCACAAGTTGGGCTTGATGAGTGTCACATGCACTTTAGGGACACAACTTTCGAGATGGTATCGTAAGTTGTGTTTGATTATGACTGCATGACTACAGGAATAGCACTGGCCAGCATTCTTTTGCATGGCGTTCCACTAACGCGCTTACTGCATCTGAGGACAAGATGCACTGCACCTTGTCTTCAAGCTATACTTACATTGTTGACACAGGTTAGTTGGTTTATAGTGAACGGAAGTCTTTTCGCATGAAGGAAGATTGCACTTGTTCAGTCACTACACATGTCTCTTCTATCCTCCTCTTTATTTAAAAGACTTAGATGTGCAATTGCATCAGCATGCTAAGTGTACTTGAACATTTTAAGTTTATGGAATGTATAAATAAGACTTCACAATGTTGTCAGCCAATGAATTGTAGAAGCCACGTGAAGAAACAGCTGGACAGGAAAGCTGCTCTTTCTCTTCTGCGAAATACGGCGATTTTGAATTGAAAGCCATGTGCTCCTCTAGACCAGCCTGCAGTGTCATTAACCAGAGGTTGAGTGTGCAACGGCTGTGAGAAATCTTGGTTCTATCTTTCGTTCGCAGAGACAACCCGCCTTTGCTGCCGACAGACAGCAGCCAGGGCTACAAGCGCAACAAAGCCAAGCTGGGAATCAGACGTGTCCGCCCATGGCGCTGGATGCCGTTTAACAACCCGGCTCGCAAGGTGTGTCTCGCATCCGATTCATTGTGCTTTTCATAACAGTTGTAGTGACGATGTCTGCGCTGCCATATTTATCTAGCTTAGGTATTTTTTGTTTGTATGGGAACAGGGTCAGCATTGAAGAAAGGCTCAATAAACCAGCCTAATGCATTAGGTTCTTGTTATTCTTTCAACATGAGCGGCTAAAAGGAACAAAGAGCAGGAAAGGAAGAAGCTGAGCTTATTCATACCAGAGCCGAGGGGCGGGCTGAGCTATAGGGCTGAGCTCTGGATTAATTTTGTTGCACTACACCTTAGTGTCATTACACTGCACTGCGATCATGTTCTTGTCAGGAAGGAAATGGAATAAGTTTATTCAGGTCTTTTGGGGCATAAACTCTATCACGTAGCGGGCCACTCCCATGTCAAGAGAGACAGGCCTAGCCCCTCCATCATGTTATGGGGCAAAATTGAATTATGAAAAAGCATCATGGCAGACCAGCATAAACATCAGTGGTATTTTCAAAGCTCGGATGCTAAGGGAATAGCTGCATCTGTTCCATACTTTAATTGATTGATATGTGGGGTTTAACGTCCCAAAACCACCATATGATTATGAGAGACGCCGTAGTGGAGGGCTCCGGAAATTTAGACCACCTGGGGTTCTTTAACGTGCACCCAAATCTGAGTACACGGGCCTACAACATTTCCGCCTCCATCGGAAATGCAGCCGCCGCAGCCGGGATTTGAACCCGCGACCTGCGGGTCAGCAGCCGAGTACCTTAGCCACTAGACCACCGCGGCGGGGCTGTTCCATACTTTAACTTTAATGAAGTTGTCAGAGAATAATGTGCTGCACACTTACCACATATATCCAACTTTTTAGTGGTAGTATCTTATTGTCTGTAATGGTTACTTCTACATCGTGAAGCCTTTTTATGTAAGACAGCAAAAGGCATTAAGGGCAGTGCAACTGTACACGTATAGTGTCTGTCAGACTGGTGCACACGGTCAATGACAAAATTACTTGTATAATGAAAAATCTATCATGCCCCAGCTATAGAACGAGACATTGCAGTCTATAGTGTTTATATAAGTGGCTTGTTTAACCGAAGTCTATAGAAGTCAAGAGCTCTTTGGTGTATATGGCATTTGACTGCGGTGTAGAGATTGGTTGAAGATTCCACGCTTCTTTATACTGAGTGTTGACTGTCCATAATCTTCTAATCACCCCTGTTGAGAATGGAAGGTCAGTCTGATTACATGTTCTCTGTGCAAGGCCACACAGCGTTAAGCTGGTCTGTTTGGTGACCTGCTCTGCGAATTAAATCCTGAGATGCGTATCTCTGTACGAAGACTGCGTTCTTTCTTTAGCCAAATATGAAACACGGTAACAAAGCACGTCTTGCAAACGTACGTTCCAACTCTTCTAGAAAGATGAGAAAAGAGACCACGTTTAGGAGGGTCTCATGCTGAGCTCACGTTTGCAAACGTTTTGTGTTTTGATTAGTAGCATAGTGTTGCCCTTGTTATGTAGTTGCGCATTGTGTCGCATCAATACATTTAGTTTGGTTTGTGACAGGATGTTGTACATCTGTGTAGGATGGTGTTATGCTGAGCCACTGGCGAAGACTGGCTGACGAAGGCAAGGAGTATCCCTTTGCCAAGTTCAATAAGGTAAGTAGAGTTATAGCCTCGCATCTCCCTGCAGCTCACTACATTCGTCCCTTGTTAACTTATTTGGGCACTCGCAACAGCTGTTCTCACGTGTTTACATGGAATCATGGCATACACAGAGCGCAACCTTCTCTGTTTGATTAACGAGATGTTGACAGCACTGGTTAAAATGTTTTATAATGTTATCTGTATATTTAACTGGTAACTGATCTCATATGAAAATACTAGGCTTGTGCGAATAGTGATTTAGTATGAACAGTTTCGGATCGAATTCAAATTGCATGCATCAGGTGTTATAAGAAAAAATGGGCATATTTTTAGTGACCCAACCAACCTGCGCAGTATTATTATTATTTTTTTTTCCTTCAAATTGAAACAAGGCTTGTGCAAAGGCCATCCTTTTGGCTCAGAGGAAGTGGGAACGACCTCGAACAGCAGCAGGGTTTGACCTTTGGTAAAATATGTTGCTTTTTAATGTTTACTATGCCTAGAGCATATAAGTCAATGTAACAATAATAATGAATCATGTGTAAATAAGGGAGGTTTTGCAGTAGTGCAATTTTTTTTTGCAAAGGTTTATTCACTGTGTAGCACTCCTCCACTACAATGAAACCACTTTTACAGGAAGTTACATGTAAACTACTAATTTAAATAGGTGTTTTCTCTGCTTAACACCTGTTACTGGAGTGGAACCATGTTAGAGGCACTTATAAAGGGACTAATATATATACAGTTAAACCCATTTATAAGAGGCATGCTCTGGGCAGTAATTCCTGTCTCTTACATGAGATGTCTCTAGTAAGCAGGGTACCTCATATGCATTTTCTTATCAACCCGTATTTTGCTGTAGGCACACTGGCGTCTCTTATACGCACTTGTCTCTTGCATCAGTGCCTCTTATTAAGTGGTTTGGCTGTAATACCAATTTCGGATTGAAGTGTTCATATATTCCCACAAGCCTATAAAATGCATCTATTGGCCAGTATGTATCATTTTTAGTGCTTGTTTCTTCTCTGCACACTATGTTTATGTATGTTGTTTCGTACAGTACTTATATTCTATCTTTCACCCTGTAGTTTTTTTTTTTAATTCCTTGTGATACATGTCTTTCTGCCTATCTGTCTATGTACTTCTTGGTTTTCTACAAAACATACTTTTTCGTTGTACAAGTTCCACATATTTTTTCTCCATAATTTACTGCACATGTTTATTATTTGTTATAATAAAGGGATCTGTGTCTAGAGGTTCAGGTGCACTTTGTTTTCTTTTACTGTTGTTATGTTATTGATTCATTCGTTCATTCATGGAGCAGCAGGTCCCAGTGCCGACGTATACGGAAGCCGAGTACCAGCAGCATCTGGCAAGTGCACAGTGGAGTCGGGCTGAGACGGACCACCTGCTGGAGCTGTGTCGACGTTTTGATCAGCGTTTCCTGATTGTTAAGGACCGCTGGGACACGGGGCGCTTCCCAACGGGACGCTCTGTGGAAGACTTCAAAGAGCGGTACTACGGCATTTGCCAGGTACTGCCACAGGCCTGTTTGGACCTATATAGATGCAGCAGTTTGTAGGCTGCCGTAGAGGTAGCAGTAATTTAAAGGGGTCCTGCAACACTTCTTGAGCATGATCAGTGAACGCTGCCAATTGATAGTAGAGGCTCCCGAGAACACGCAAGCCAAATATTATAGTGCAGCGCACGGCCTGTAGTTCACAATAAGTTATCTAAGTAAACTAAAAATTGTTTTCTTGTGACAAATGACAAAGAAAGCTCGAAAATTACGCATAGAGGGCTTGCTGTCAGCCATTGGCTGATTTGAACGTGACGCGCTATGTCGTTGCAGGGATTGCCGTGGGAGGCCGTGACTTGTGCACGCGCGATCACACTGACAAAGCCATGTATACGAAGAAAAAGAAGAGTGCTCTAGGTTGCGAGGCGCGCTTGACATAGTTTTTTTGCCCATGCCAACCATCCCCGCTTAGCTTCCAGTGCTTTCGTTGAGAAGAGAAAATGCGATTGCAGAGTGCGACAAATCTAACTTCACTTGTACTGGACGGATTCTTAAAACTTTTGCGGCGTTGAATTCCTGAGGCAATGTATGGTTACTTGAAAAAGTATTTCAGGGCCCCTTTAATTGATTGATATATAGAACAAGAAGCTGGTTACACAAATATTGTGTGGATGTGCATCTTCACAGCCATGAGGGTTGTTATGCTGCAAGGTCAGACTTGCAGGTGAGAGAGAGATATGGTATGAAGAAAGGCAGGGAGGTTAACCAGAACTCGCAGGTGAAACGTGCATTGAAGTAAAGCTGTGCTTTTTTAAAGGAATGCCGAAGAGAAGAAACGATGTTTCTCGGATTAGTAAGGTATACTTTCACAATTAAAAAAAAAAACAATATTGCAAGAAAGACGCTTGGTAAGCAAGAAAACTTGCAAAAAAAAGTGCGGGTGGCAGCCGAACCTGTAAGTTCCCACACCAAACAAACGCTGTAATGTCATACATTTTGACAGTGTTGTTGTTCTTATGTTCTAAATTGATAAAAATGCAGTATGTTGCGCTTTTATGGCGCTGTGTACTTAACATGCCAAGTTTCAGATAATTTCGTTTAGTCAATGACATGAAAATGTGCAAAATACATTTCGAAATTCGTTATGTAACGAGTGGAGATGTCAGTGTGAAACTTGAAAATGAGATTTTTACTTTGATTTTGTGATGGCGATATGAACATTAGTAGAGTTTTCGAAGTACAATTCTTCAAGATAGACCGAGTTGATTGTTGTTCCACTTTATTGTCCCTTAATCTAGCCACAAATGCGAATACTTCTGATTTTACCCTTTCTCTTGCCTGTTCACCCAAAGACCTTGGCCCGCATCAGGGCTTCTCCAGGACAAGAACCCAAAGGGCGCGCCTTCGATGCCGACCACGAACGCCGCCGCAAGGAACAGTTGCTGAAGCTGTATGATCGCACTACAGAGCAGGTGGGTTGACCTGCTCAAAGGCAGTTCATTTGTGCTAGCATTGCAGTTCGCTCCGATTCAGAACCCGTTGCAGTGATTCGGCCGGTTGGATGGGGTCGCGGTTCCGACCCCTGCCACAAAGTCCACATTTTGATTAAGAGAAACGTCATTGTAACTGTCAATTTCTTGTGGTATAGTTTAGAAATGTTTATGGCACAGCTCCAAGTGCTTAAAAAAAAAAAAAAAAAGAGAGGATTAGAATTGCCTGCTGTGGCATCTACTAAAACTGCTGCACAAATCCAGTACATTAAAATGTACTGAATGCTAGCTAAAAACTTTCTGCACTGTAACTTTTCATTTCCATTTTCTGCAACATACTTATCTTGATTTCTTATTCCAACCAAATTTAGTCCGCTACTCTACACACATTACATCTTTCACTTGTATATGTCTGCTTTACGCCTTCTACAGCCAAACATAATAAATGCCTTTGCAGTTGATGGCTCATTTATATTCCAACACATATTTACATGACAGCCTTTGGTCAAACTTGGTCCTTGCTCCACAAAATGCCAATAGATCATCATCCCATGAGGTCTCAGAAATAGGATACAAAATTTGATCGGAGGCAAGATGCGAAAATGCTCACGTATTACATTTGGCAAATGCACGAGCCTGATCGTGACAATGCAGCACCTGAAGCCTGTTGAACAGGTGTCTTGAACTAGCACTGTTGTTTTGAAGCATTCCCTGCGGTTGTCCGCAACTTACACAGGTTGAGGAGGAGCAGACGCTGCTGGGAGAGTTGCGCAAGATCGAGCTACGTAAGAAGGAGCGCGAGAAGAAGACGCAAGACCTCCAGAAGCTCATCACGGCAGCAGACAACAGTGCCGAGGCACGACGTGTCGAGCGCAAGGGCCCCAAGAAGAAGCTCAACATCCAGAAGAGCAGTCGCATCGAGCCGGGGGTGAGCTCTCATGTGCATATACTATTTGAATTTGATTCAAAATTATTTTATTCGAAATTATTTTAGGGCCTGTCATCAGGTGATACTTCAAAAGGTCACAAAATGCTGCTTCATCAAGGGACACTGGCATACGATGTTCTAGAGAAATTGTAACACACCCCCACAACTTCGCATGCTTGTGCCGATCTTGCTGTCATTCAGACCACCCACCCAGAGGGACTTTTTGTTAGCATTATAGGCTCCAAACATCTGCCATTTGCATGGCAGATGTTTTTGTTTTGTTACCAGGAGTGCTGTTTTTATAAGCTTTTTGTGACACATCACAGCTTGTTTGAGATGTTGAGGGGACTAAGATGTGGTTATGCAATGATTAGTGGTATACAGCGAAAAGTTGAAGTACTGGGTCTATTATGGCTTTAGTATATGCAAAAAATTAATTGTGAATGAAAACTAGTTCAGTAAAAAATAAGCCCGACAAGTCGCTGTCGTTAGCACCACCCACCGTTAGTGACTGCCATTTTATCATGGTGTGTGTAACATCATGTGCTGCACAGAGTGGTGGCATTGTCTTCTACCAAAGCTTCAGCCACAGTGAATCAATCAATTTCTTTGCTAAGCTGAAGAAACATGAAAAAGCTTTACTGCGTGCACAGCTGACCACTGAACAATATTGTTTGTCTGAATGTTTAGACGCTCGCACAACAAACACCTTGTCTCGTCACGACTAGCAGGCACCCAACTGGTGCCCTATTCTTCGTACACTTGCATGCTTATAAAAAATATTCAATTGTAAATGAAGCACTTCACCAAACGTGCCGAAATTTCACCAGCTTATTTGTGAATGCACAAAGACTAATGCATACACCGTATTTACTCGCGTAATGAACACACTTTTTTTCTCGAAAAATTGGAGCAAAGTTTTGAGGTGCATTTATTACACGGGGTAAATTTTATGGAAACTTTTTCGGGAGAAGGAAAAAAATGCAGTAATGCAGAAAAAAAAAAGTTAGGGCGCTTAGCGTTTCGCAATTTACATACACGTACACTGTTTTAAAACAGCTTCTTTGTTGAACTTTACTCATCTTTGGTGGTTGATGGCGCTGTCTTCTGCAAGCTGTCCCCAAGCCGCCTGCGCAGGCCATGAAAACAAAAGCATTGCGACTATCTTTTGTCTTAATCGTTTAAGTGCAGCAGTGATATCTGCTGTGAAATGGAGCGCCCAAAAGTGTGCACTCACTGGGGGGGGGGGGGGGATGAAGGGACAGTTAGAGTGAAGGAAAAAGAAACTAGGCTAAAAAAGAAGGGGTGGGGGTATTCGCAGGAAGCGACCGAGGTCTATGGGCTCTCGCTGTGTGCTTATCAGCTGGGATGTCTCTACACTCGCAGTGCTCGCTGGTGACCGCTGTGGCGCACAGATAAGACGGAGAACTGTGGTGAACAGACAGAAAGAAAAGCAATAGGCACAGTGAGAACGGACAGGGGAAGGGGGGGGGGGCGAGCCGAGGTGGTTGAGGGGGGTCGGAGAAGTAATAAAAAACGGAAGAGAGCCAACGGGTGAGGAGGCGCCAGGTGTCGGTTAGCGGGACTGCAGCGGATGAATGTAAGGGATGCGTTTATTATGCGGGGGGAAAAATCTAAATTTTGATGACTAAGTTGGGGTGCGTTTATTATGTGAGTGCGTTCATTACGCGAGTAAATACGGTAACACAGATTATGATTGAAAAATGGGTGTCGGGGTCACTTAAAGTGTTACACAGAGGAACCACTTTGTGTCTTCTCTATCAGAAGTTTGGCTCGTTTTCATGTGGAAAAACTTCTTATTGCCGTTATCTACAAGGTTCTGTGAAGCGTCAGTGCTTACTTGTGCTGTCATGTTGGGCTGCTTCATATTTTCACTTTGCTGTAAGGATTACGCTTACTTATATGACTATTGCATAAAGAAACTAATGCTTGGTGTGTGTGTTTCCAGTTAGCGATTTTGAAGGTTCACCATTTCAGTTTCTGCGTTCTTGCAGGCGGTGGAGTCTGCAGGCATTCGGTTTCCGGACTTCAAGGCCTGTGGGGTGTCCCTGCGAAGCCACAGGGTGAGGGCATAAGGAGATCGTCACTTCGTGTTGCATGCTTTCAAACTATGTGGCGACACTTGCCACGTGTTTCATGTCACCTTACACCTTCTAAGGTCCTGAATTGTGCTCAGAGGCTTGATTAACGCTTCAGGCTGTTCTTTGAAATGAAATGGCATTAATGAAACTTGTGGCACTCTGTTATGTCAGGAGAACTATGGTACACTCGTTAAATGGAACTTAAAGTACCCATGTAAATACTTTTTGTTCAACAGGAGTGCTGTTTACGGAGAGATTACCAGGAGTGCAGAATTCAAGTATGAAAGGAATCATGTTAAAGGCAATTGTCCTATTTAAGCAACGATTCGGTGTACTGAAAGTATAGTATACTTACATGCATCAGCAAGTTGCATCTGGAACGTTAGCCGTAATTATCAATCCAACATAAGCTTTAAAAAGTATGGTTGACCATTGGGCAAGTAGCTGCTGGTCCTTTACTATATATAACCAAATGCAACGTGTCTTCTTCCAGATTTCTGCTACCTAAAGTCGACCCTCGTGTTACAATCGAATACCGAAATTCTACGTTTTTTACTTTCTGGACATGATAAAAACTTACCCCTCACGTTACAATCATGGCTGCCTTACAAGTCGAGTAAATGTGGCAATGTGAAATGTCGATACAAAACAGGACAAGATGCTGTGCTTCTGTTTGTGTGTTTTCTGCGTTTACATTTATTCTGTGGTGCCATTTCTTGACAATGATTGGTGCTCCCTTCTTTGTTGCACACTTTGTAAGTGTTTAGCTGATCGACAGAGGTGTTACATTGTTTTTAAACACTGCAGGGTATTCACATTAAATTAGCACTTCGAAAAAGAACATGCATGAAAACTGAGGCTTTTAACTGTGGTAAAGCAAGCTTTTATTTGCTGCTTCTGGCTGATTATTCCTGCGGCTCATCCTCAGATGAAGCTGCCAGCATCAGTGGGCCAGAAGAAGACAAAGGCCATTGAACAGCTGCTCCAGGAACTGTGTGTTGGTGAGTCACTCTTTAACATTGAATCAGTCAAGGGGCCCGTTTCTATTGAAGGGACACTAAAGGGGGAACAATTGGTCATTTTAGACTGATCAATTATACTTTGGAAAACTCTACTGTCTTTAATTTCACCACCATAGATTCAAAAAGTTTTATCTTTAAGCACATGACATGACAGATTTCAAAGTACTTTTTTTTTCATATTGTGCTAACATTGGCCTAAGGAAATTTTGTGAAATCTGGTATTTCATCTCTGGCCTCCTCAGAAAACACTGAAATTAATTTTTCTGATTAGGAGCTACTCAGGCCCACTAGATTTCTTCAAGATCTATGGCGCCACGGTGATCGGTACATGAACACGGACGTGGCTTCGCCGCTTGCGTATTCTTTTCTGTGCGTTTTCTCACTTACCGAGCATCTTCTCACAGTCAGCGTGGAGTTCTTGGTGCCTAGAGTGCTCCACCAATACGAGAAAAGATTTCTCTTCACTGTCCGTTTAAGACACGTCTGTATAAAGGCAGTGGTTAGATGAATCCATGAAAAGCATAGTTGGCAGGACTCATTTTTTAAGTGTTGAAGTCTGGTATAGGTCTGTGATGAAGGGAAGTGAAGGCAGACAGAAAAACTACATGCTTCCCGTGGCACGCAGACCCACAAACCTAACGGTGCAGTGCACTACCAACTGTGCTGCAACAGCGGTCGTGATGTCCCCGTCGGCTTTCTTGGGCATTTGTGGATGCATTAGCTAGCACCACTCGTAGCCACGGTGATGAACGTGGAACATTATTTTTAACCAACGGCATCGCGTGGTGCATGATCTCTCCAAGCTTGCAGCTGACCAGTAAATTTTCGCGTGCTACCTGAAGGCACCAAAGCTGGTGTCAGTACCCTCACTATGAAATTATTGAAACAAAGGAAATCGGCTAAAAGTAGGCTTGGGCGAATAGTGATTTTGGTTGAATAATTTCGAATCAAATTTGAATAGTATATATCACATGTTATAAAAGTAAAATGGGCATATTTGTCATAACATAACTAACTTGCACAATATATATATTTTTTAAATTGAAAGTAGGCCTATGGCAAATGACATTTTTGGTTTCAAAGGAAGTGGAAGCAACTTTGAGTAGTAGCAGGATTTGACTATTGCTAGAATGCAAGTGATGACCTGTAAAATATGTTATGTTTTAATATTTACTATACATAGAGTAATAGGGCAGTATAATAAGCTTTTAAGCATAAAAATTATGAATCAATGTGAGGATGAAATGTTCATTTAACCTTGAAGGGGCTTCGTGACAGTGCGGATTTCCAATAGTTGTTTTCATTGTTTAGCATCCCTTTACTGCAGTGAAACCACCTTTACAGGAAATTACATGCGGATTAGTATACATTTAATTAGGTGCTTTTACGGCTTAACATTCCTTTATCGCAATAAAATGAATTTTAGAGAAAATTACATGTGAATTAATATACATTAAATAGGTTTTTTTCATAGCATAGCACCCTATAACCGCAGTGAAACCATTATTACATTCGAATCTCATTAATTTGAACACACTTAATTCAAACTTCCGGTTAATTCGAACTCACGATGAGGTCCCGTCAAAGCTATGTGTATTTCAATGGGCAAAAACGCCCGGTAATTTGAACGCGCAAGCACTTGTGACGGTTAATTCGAACATATCGTGCTCGGAAAATGCTCTCAGCACCCCGCCCAATCCCGCGGCGGCACCTCCGACGCCTCAACGCTGCACGAAAAAGAAAAAGAAAAGGAAAGAAAAGGTTGCGGTGGAGTTTTCGCTCTCTCTCAAATGCCGATCTGGGATGTGCCTTTGCCACGCTTCTCCCTTTTTCGCCCCTGCCACGTAAAGACCTTCCTTCCAAGTGCGCAAAAAGAGAGAGAGAGAAAAAGTGGTCGTGGAGTGTGGATCTCTCTCACGCTCCTGTGCCCCGCTTCCCCCTTTCTCGTCCCCTCCACGTAACACTTCTCCTTTCAACGACGCATGCGAAGAGAGCAAAAAAAAAAAAAAAAAAAAAGCTGCCGTGGAGTTGTCGTGCTCCGGACGGTGGTCCGGAACATCCCTGAAGCAAAATGGTGGAATACTTTTGAAGATCTCGGTAGCGACCATATGTTAATAGAAACATGAATTCCTCAGGTGGGTACACCTCACGCCTACAAGCTATTCAAATGGACAGGCTGGGACAGATTCGGGAAGCAGCGTGACGAACAGAGGGATGAGGAGGCCATTGATGACATCGAGGCATGGATGGAAAACCTCAATGGCGAGGTGAACCCAAAGTTCTGGTTGAGAAGATTGACAGCCGACTAGCCCACCTCTGGGAAGCCAAGGCATCACTGCACGCAAGATGCGGTGAGTGCCTGATGTTTTCCCCTCAGTTCACCAGACTACTCTAGCTCAGGTTGTAGTAGTTTACAGAAGGCTGTGTGAAGCATTAGAGTGAGCTTTGATCGTTTCAAGCAAAGTCGAAGTGCTTTGAAACCAAAGTTAATGCGGAGGGGGTAAACACGGGAGAGTGCAAAATTGCTTGCGCGTCTTGCTAGTAGGCTTATAGTGGGTACGGCAAGTAGATTCTTAACAGGGGCAAACAGCAGAGGCTAGTGTGAACGATGGAGAACCTTAAAGTGAAGGAACTCATCGAAATTTGTGAGGAACTCGGCATTACTTTGGGCCGTGCGAAACGAAGCAAGCGATCCTTGAGATCATGAAGGATGAGGGAGTGTCGGCTGAGGAAGTCGATGAGGCCTGGGTGGATATCAAAGCACGCCGCGAGGAGGCTCAAAAGCGAGAAGCTCGCGAACGTGAAGAAGCTGAAAGGCGAGAAGCTCGCGAACGTGAAGAAAGGCGAGAAGCTCGCGAACGTGAAGAAGCTGAAAGGCGAGAACGTCGCGAGCGCGAGGAGGCCGAGAGACAGGAGCGCCTCGAGATGAAACGAATAGAATTGGCAATCCTACAGTGTTCGCAGGCGCCTAGCGCAGCTTCTCCGACGATTCAGGTCAGCGGTATTAGAATTCGGGATCAACTGCCACCGTTCGTAGTAGGCGAGGACATGGCGAAGTATCTCGTCAAGTTTGAACACGTCTGTGAGCGAAATGCTTTGGAGCAGTCTCTTTGGGCGCGGAACCTGCTAGCTCTTCTTCCCGGCGAAGTGTCCGACGCGATAACTTGCTTGTCGAGGGAAGCGTTGGAGAGCTATGACGTGGTTAAGAAAGTGCTCTTGAGACGTTATAAGTTGTCACCCGAGGCTTTCAGGCAAAGGTTCCGGTATGCTAAAAAGGGGAATGAGTCACACGTTGACTTCGCGTTTCGTCTTAAAGCCGATTTGATTGAATGGCTCAAGGGCGAAGGTGTGTATGACGACCGCGATAAAGTGGTGGAATGCGTTGCATTGGAGCAATTCTACCGCTGCATCGAGGAGGATGTCAAACTTTGGCTGCAGGACAGACTTGGGGAAGTACGGTTAAACAAGGCAGCTGAGTTAGCTGAGGAGTATTATACTCGCCGAAAGTTGCATAGCAGGGCAGTGCGCGTTGAAAGGATGAAAGAAAAGAGGGCTTTTCAAGGAAACCTGATCAACGGAAACCCGTTCCGCACCGTAACTTCAAAAAGGACCCGTCTCTTACGAAGGATAGTGTAGGGAAGGGCAAACAGAAGCGGAGAAATCAAGTGAGGTTTCTACCACACAGGCAATTGAATCGGAAAACAAACGGAAGCCGCTAATCTGCTACAACTGCAAAAAGAAAGGACACATCGCGAGAAACTGTCAGGAAAAGTTTGCTTTCGCAACGATCCGAGAATCAGAAAAAAACATTCGGTTGTTGGAGCCGTATCTCCAAGAAATTAGGGTGAATGAGAAAACGTGCCGAGCACTTGGAGACTCAGCGGCAACCATGGACGTTGTCCATCCTTCATTGGTGTCTCCGGATGACTTCACAGGAGAATGCGCGTGGATCAGGCAGGTCGCCGAGGAGCAGAGTGTTCGCTTACCAATCGCCACGGTTGTCATTAAAGGCCCGTTCGGTGAGCTTCGCACCGAAGCGGCTGTGTCCGCCGCGCTAAATGATCGTTTTCCTTATCTTTTCTCCAACAACTCGGAGCAGCTTCTCAAAGAGCAGGGCAAATCGTTCTTCCCCAACTTAGCGTGCATGGCTCTCACGCGATCGCAAGCGCGGAAGCTATCGCGGCAGCTTGATCTGGATCCATGCGGTGAACTCTCAAGTGACCTTGTCGGCGGGTCAACGGAACCCCAGAAAGGAAAGTTTCCGCATGAGTCATGTGAGCAGTCACGCGAGCGGCCCGTCGCCGAACCGACCGGCGCGGTTTCCGTAGAAAGGGGAGACGACATGGCGCCATTGAGTCAGAGCGAGAGGGTTGCAACGCTCTCGCCTGTAGCGGAAAGTTGGAGCGAGCTGCCGAGAGTTGATCGAGAGACGCTCATTCGAGAGCAGCGTGAGGATCTCTCGATTGAAGCGCTAGTGGAAAGCCAAATTGAAGCGCTAGTGGAAAGCCAGAAAAACGCGGCAAAAGTGCTGTCGAAGGAGCACTACGAGGAATCGGTGAAGAAGCGTGCTTTTGAAGTAGGGAATCAGGTAATGCTGCTGCAGCCTTTCAAAAAGAACAAGCTTGAGGTTGATTGGGAAGGGCCCGCCAAAGTATTATCGAAGCCTTGCCATACAAATTATGAAGTGAAATTAGGAAGGCGGCCAGACAAAATTTACAACTTGAAAGCAGTCGTAAATTTGTTGTTGAATGCTTCAAAGGAAAAGGAAGCAGAAATTTTGAGTTCTAGTGAGGTAGTTGAAGGGGGATCGAAAGTAATCCGGGAGCAGATAAACCTAGAGCCTAGCTTAAGTGAAGGAGGACCTGAGAAAGAGGACCTGAGAAAGATTGGTTCCGAGTTTGAAGACGTGTTTTCGGACCGCCCCGGAAACACGAGGGTGATCGAACACGATATCGAGCTAAGCGGTGAGGAGTCAATCC